TTTTCTTTAAAAAATTAACCCATTAACCAAATAATGCATTGGATCAAATTGGAAACCAAAAAAATTGGTAATTTTTAATGAAATAATAATAAAATACCAAAGAAAAAAAAAAACACACGCAAATGGGATTTATTGATTTATGTATATAATTTACAAATAAACCATGAATATTATAAATGTTAGAGCCAAACCATGGACTCTCTTCCTACAACAATAAACAAAAATTAAAGAAAAAATCAGGGGAAAAAAAAAAGAAAAAGAAAAATCAATTAATATCTTTTACAAATCAACATCCAAATATAATCAATATACACAATGATACCAATATTTTTTTTTTCCAATAACATAAAGGCCCTTCACCTTCCAAGTATAACAATCACAACCCCATTTCATAAAAACCCCCAAAAAAAAAAAAATTAAAAAAACAAAAACTCAACTCCTGCACCGTGAAATGGAGCTGCAGCACGGCTGTAGGGTTAGCCTGGCCGCCATTTTGGCAGTTGTATTAGGAGGCGCGCGCCCGTGAGCAGGGCACAGTGTTCCTCTGCACGCACCGTAGCTGATGTAGTTGCTGGTGGCTAAAATGCGCCGTTTGATCTCTGAGTCATTTCGAACTCGCCCTCTTCGCCCACCAACGATGATCCGGCGGTGGGTAGCCACCCCAGATTGAGCTGGTGATCCCTGGCACGACGGTGGACATGGGTTCATCATGAAGATCATAATCATAGAAGAACCCCAAGAAGAAGTGTACTGAAGTGAGCAAGTTCGCCATTTTCTTCAACCTCCCTCTTCTTCTTCTTCTGGTTGCTCTGTATTGTGATTTATCTTCTTCTCTTTCGTTTGATTTTGTGTAGAGAGTTGGTTTAATTTGAGACAGAGCAGTATGGCCTAGCGGGGACTTATAAATGGGCTTCCAGAGCATTTGACCTTAGTCTTGAGTTTTATTCAAGAATGCCATTTTTGGAGGCTTTAAAATTGAAATACGAGTTTGTGGAGGACCACTCATTTACTAGAAGTTGAAAATTTCGATTTTTTTAAGTTTTTATTGACTTGTAGTTAATAAAGAAAATTAAAGTCATTGTCTAATTTCTTTCTATATTTATCAATATAATTATTATTTTTCGAGTTTGATCTTAGATCACCTTGATTTTCCTCCAAAATTGTATTGTAAGAAACCAATGTCGCAAAGGGATAGGAGCTTTACCAAAACTAACGAGTAAAAAACCTAAAACTGAAACGCATTTTAGAAACCAATTACACTTGTAAAAAATCTCAATATCATATCGTTTAGAAGAAAAACAAAAATTACCTTTTTATATGATCTTACAGTATGACATTATTGAATAAAAGCTAAAGAGTCAACGTATCTGTTTTTTATTACATTACTTAAAATACTAGGGGATAACACGCTCTTCTCAATTGGTGTATGACTTCAACATCAACTACTCCTCAAACCCGCAATTGTTACCTTTAGTTATAGCCATATAATTGATATACCAAGTTATGTTGCAACTCCCAGATATCAAATTAATTCCAAATTATCTTGATTCACCCTACCAGGAGGTATATAGAATCAAGAGTACAATCTATCCCTTTTACCTTATAACAACCAAATGAAGTCAATTCAATTCTTACTTTTTATGATTATAAAAAGATGACACGACATTAATAGAACATTGAAAACATTAATTCCATGTGTGTTCATATTCATTCTAGAGTATTGTCATGGATTTCTGTCATGCAACAACAGCAAACCCAAAAGAAACTTCCCTCTATTCACCTAAGAAAGAGGCTCATATTGTCATAGGGTTGTTAGATGCAAATTTTTGCTTTCGACTTTTGAGAAAGAATGTGTTAATCGTAAAAATTGTGGAGGGCAAGACAAGACCCACCACAAAAGTGGCAACCAGTAAATAGATGAAATAAGGGTAGAATTGTAAGTGTAGTTTGGTACATTAGTTGACTAGTTATATGCTATCTCTTTCTCTGACATAGTTTGTATAAGAATAAAATAAATAAAGTTAAAATGAGAAAGAAAGACGGCATCTAGGGTTAGCGCAGCACCTATTCCAAGTCCGTCCAAAATCTCTAACCGAAACACGTTTTCTCTTTCCCATCTGGCCTAATTATTTTAACTCCGTTACGTCACTTAAACGGCGCCGTTTGTCTGTCAACATTCAGTGGCATAACCCCCTCCACTTGCTAATTTGTCTTCACATGACAGTATAGCATATGTAAGCTTAATTAAAACAGTAGTAATCTTGAAATTCACTCAAAATTATATTTTCTTGAGAAGACTATACCGTAATCCCCGTCCAATCCTTTATTTAAATCATATGTTAAAATAAAAAATTGAACTTGAATCGACGTCTATTCTTAACTATCTCTAATTCGACCTAATCATTCTAAACTACTATGAATGAATTGAAAACAATCTAATGGTTGAGTAATAATGTTTATATAAAATATTACTTTATATTTATCCATGATATTAAATAAATATATATACATTTATTTGAAATGGTTGGTTATATCAATAATTAGATAAATAAGAAAATGAATACATATATCCATTTAAAAAAAAAAAGATAAAATTGCAAACCATAGACAGTTTTATCGTCTCTTATTTTTATCACTATTTATTAACGGAAGGATTTGAAAGGGGAGTGACGGAGTTAGGAAGAAAAGATGAAATAGGCGTCGACGTAACTGCACTTAGCCGTTATAAACGTGGGGCCCAACACAGATCACCAGACGGTGTATCGCGCTCCAAAACCAATCCTCTCTCTTATAGCCAGCTGTATCTTAACACTTTTCCATGAATCTTTCTATATAATTTTATTCTCAACGTAACTACCTTTTTTTTAATATATATATTTTTCATAATTTAAAATATCTAAAGACGAATAAGAAGGCAAAATTGTGCCTCCACTCTACACACAAAGTCTTTTGGAACCAATAGTACTCGCAAAATCCTATTTATAAATACCAATTCATAGTGATTTTCCTATTATTATTCCTTGGATTATATATTTATATGGATAGAGTATATGTAATTGATTTTATAATTAATTCACTTATTTAACAATCCTAAAAATTGACACATGAGTTATATCTAATTTTGTATGTTTAACATTATTGCTTAATAAAATGGTGTGATTAAAAGGTATTCGCCTAATCATTTTCGATGATCAAATGATTAGACAAAGCCTCTTAAACGTATTACTTAAAATGTCTGAATTCAATTACTTCGTACTAATAGGATTATTACTGGAAAGTACTCGATCGTTAACTTCAAGGCTATTGGAGGTTAATTGAGATGTGAAACTGGTCTGAAAATCCTTCATTAAAAAACAAAAAAAAAAAAAAAAAAGATAATTGATTTAAGTCTAATATTAGTGATTGCTAATTCAGGTGTGCTAAATCTAAATCATGCTAACCATTACTATTTGAGAATTCTACTAGTTGATTTGACAATTGATGTGAATTTAGTCTGTTCAGTTTTTTTTTTTTAAAGGTTATGTACCAATAGGATGCAAGGGAAAGACAATCTCTCACAAATAATATGAAACACCCTAATTTTTTTTAATTCACCTTTTTGACCTCGCGAACAACATTATGACAACTGGTATCCTTGATCGAGTCTTGTATTTTTTTATTGTATAGCTCCAGTTGCTGCTGCATAAAGAAAAAAGTATAAAAAATTTCATTAGAGTTTCAACTTGGAAGTCTTCCAGACCTTACAAAGAAAATATTACATCCTGGCATGTAAGCATTGTTCAGGGATCATGCTTTACACGAATGGAAGAAAGAACACTGGAACCATGAACCAATGGGTCCCATCTTTAGATTTTTCCTGATTCCAGAATCAACAAAATCAGACTATCCAATAAGCCATTTAGATATGGTTCAAAATCATAACAAAACAACCCAGACATGAGTAGTCTTAAAGATTAGTAGAAATATGAATAAACTGAACAGAACACCTTTGTTTAACATTATAAGTTCCATATTAGGCATCAATGCCTACCAGTAAGCCATTTCCGTAAAAAATAAGTAGCCAAAAGAGCATATGTAACAAGAAGTTTTCAGCGGATACATGATATTAAAGATGCAGTTTGAAAGTCAACCAGTTTGCAGAAAAGAGAGCAATTAAAAACTTTGAAAAATAAAAAAAAAATCATAGTCGTGCAATGCACTAAGTTCTACTGCTGAATCAAATTTAGTCTATATACGTAGAAATACTAGTGGAACTCCAGAAGTTTATCTGTGCCCATGAAAGTTCAGATGCAACAAGATTGGAGCATCGAAATACCAAATTAAACTTGCATCTGTTCTTCTGAAGAATCCAGAAAAAACAGTTTGGTGATTATAATAAAAGGTCTGTCTGCAGGTGAAGAACAAGGAAGCATACAAAATCTCCTAAAAGGTCTAAAATGGGAGTGCAAATCCACGGGCCATTAGATATATTTTTCCCATGAATTTACTTTAAAGCCAATCCTGAATTGTCATTATAGCAGTAAAATATATAACACTTTTTTATCTTTTCATTTTCTACATGAAAGATACAGGTAGAAGCCAGTCCTGGATCCTGCCCTGTTTGGGAACAGACCTTCTACCCACCCTAAATATCATTTCACAAGTCACCTCACGTCTAAATGTTTTCACCTTGAAGAAAATTAGAGTTGTAAATAAGTAAGATAACAATGATTGAAACCAAGCATAATAATTTTCATGTGGGGTCCAATTATTATGTTTGATGAATAGCTAGTGGGAAAAGAGCTAAAAGAAAACTACAGCATTGAAAACATTGTTATGGTTTTCAGAAAATATAAACCTATTGACTGATTTCTTCCCGACAGACGCACACAATAATATTGAAGTAAGTCCACCTAGTTATATAATGCTTTCAAGATATCCATGCTAACTAACAGGAAAACTACTATGCCAGAAGCAGAACTAGTAAAACAACTAACTTTCATATGAAAGTAGGTCCACCTATTTATAATTAATTCAAGAGCATATCAGATCAGAGATCCATGCTCAATAATGGGAAAACAAATAGAGCAGAAGCAGAGCTACTGAATTATTTAGGTGTCACTAGAAGAGATACATGCACTTACTGACTTACAGCAAAGGAATAGCAACCGAGCAGCCTACAACTAAGAAAAAGAGATCCATTGCTAGTGTTCTTCATAGTATGGCGGAGTTGACTGAACACACAGTTCCTGAGCATCCCCATCATCATCATCATCATCGTCATCGTCATCGTCATCATCTGCGTCTACCCAATTACTAGGATGACGTTGTGAAATACCTTGGCCATTAATTTCAGACTTGTCTGAGAGCAAAATAAAATTGCAAAAATATTAGTTACTGCTAGACAGGAAACATTTGTAAGAATAAACATCATGATTAGCCCTATAACTGACCTTGGGCTACTTCTGCAAGATCCTTTTCCACCGGATGGCCGCTAATATAACAGTCAAGGTATGGCCGTTAAAAGCAGTCTTCAAGAATCACAACTCATGCAACAAAGTTATACTGACCAACATAAAAGAACTTCAAATCTAGGGTTATCAGTATTCCCCCACCTGCCTTCTAAAAGGCTGAATGTGCTTTTGATGTTACCCTTCCTAATAAAAAGTCACCAAAAAAATAAAAATAAAAATCCATAACTGACCACAACATGGAGGTTCAACACTGCTTATCAATGCTATATCCAGTTTAGAAACTAGACTGCAAGACTCTAAATTGAAACATTTCCAAAGATGAAGGACACAGACACAAAATTATGAATGGACATGGGTGCAAAGTCTCAAACAGACACAAACACGGGCATGCATTAAGGGCACATGGTTACTTATAGAGACAGGCATGAAGACACACAGATAGACAAAGAGAGATTGAATCAGTCACATTTTGGATACAACGTTGGACCTGCAGCAACATTCTCTCTAGTAGATGCATCTTTTGATATCTGAACTCTGCTAATCCTTTGGATTTCCCTCTGTTCACTAGCACCCACATTTCTTTCCCTTTGAACGTGCCTGCCTTCAGCACCGCTACCAATTCTAGCTGCACTTCCTGCAGAGAAACAGAGTACATAAGTTTCTGGTTTAACATCTTATTGTCATCACTGAAGAATACTAAATAAGTACCTGAAAGTTCAGACCAAATTCTGGTGTGATCAGATGGATGCTCAGAGACATTTGCTCTACATCTTTCCTGTTGAGCTTGAGACCCTGTGCCAGCAACAGCCTGAGCAGGAATTTCAGTGACTGCTTGTGGAGGTTCTGAAGAATTAGCTTCACGGAGTTGTGATGTAAGCATGGTGGCAAGTAAAATTGTAGCATCGAAATTTGAACTGGACCCATCATCTAGACCAAATTTTGGTGCCATTAATATTGGCCTGTTTCCCGATTTATGTTTTCAAGAATTGAAGTCAGATATTTGATAGTAATTCTTAGATTTAAGATCACTATACTAGATATTGTTGTGACCAGATGTAATACACTTATATCACAACTGGTCTAAGCTAGTTAGCTAGTAGGAGGCCAAAACTAAAGAAAGCATAGCACAGAAATTGAATTGATGAAGGAACAAGAATCATCTTACTCGCCAGCTTTGTCGAAAAATAAGTGTATGTCAACTTCACAGCCTTCGCAAAAAGAAAGAAAAGCCTGAAAATTAAAGATTGAAATAAACATTAATAGATAATCCTAGATGCTCATATAAATTAAGTTGCATGGGCTCAATCATTTCATTCAGTATACAGGAACAATCATGAATGTTAGTCAGATGATAATTCCAGCAACTCTTTCTTTTTTTTTTTTTTTTTCTTTTTTCCCCTTTTGGTAACTTTGGCAGAAGAGAAATTATATTACAGGAAAATAAAGGGAAAAAATTTGTGGCAGTGATTGGACAGATTAACTTTGTATTTAAATAGGAACAAGGCTCATCAGTTGGGATAAGAATTTTTCAATTTCATTTTGTGACCTACACAAGATCAAATCTATACAAAATCTGGTCTCTGTGCATGGATTATCATACCTTCAGTTCCTTCACACCAAATGTCACATCTACAGGACCTCCAGAGTGAGTATACAACACAAACTCCTCGGTTGGATCTATCCACAGTTGAGTGTGTAGCGCAGAGTCATTTTCTGCAGATGAGGAAAAGAAGCATATAACTTCCTGTCTGCAATATCTCGGAAAGAAAAACATCCATACCTTTGGTTGGATCTATATAACTTCTAAGTTCAACAGCCTTTCCTCCTATTTCACCCGCAGCATCAGAGGGTACGGAAGTGGCCTCTGTTGCAATGATAGTGATCTCCTGAAGGGATGATTGAAAATTACCAAGCAATCTGTTGAGATCACGAGGCCTCACTACAAAGTTACTTGGGAATTTTCTCCTATCAAGAGATAAATGTTGTATGTCGGGTTCAACATTGCAAGTAATCCAATAGGCTTTCCTCATACCTACACATGATATGGTATAGAATTGCTCAAGATTAACTTATAATACAAAACATAAGAAAATTATTGTGATGAGAAAAACTGATGCCTCATATGATATACCAGAGCAGTCAACATAAACTAGAGAATTAAGCAGTGTGCTTAAAATTCCAAATTCAAATCTACATTAGCTTTTAAATGATTGCTGCACCAACCATGATAAAATTTTATAAAAATGAGTAAAGGTGCAACTGTTTAGCTGGAGCCAAGAGTTGCATATTGATCATGGCTCATGTAAGAGGTGCTCACCCAGCAAAAGTTGCACCAGAAAGAAGTTTCACTGGGATGACAGGCACAATTCAATTCTCAAAGTCTAAATTACAATAAATCAAGGTACAACTCAGGAATCTCAAGAGCTAAGCATCAGTATGCTATGATAGCATCATAATTGAAGATAGGTTTCTGTACTACGATAATACTTTCACTAAATCAAGACGGTTGATGGCCTTGTGGCTACAGTATCAGATATCTATAGATTACCCATACTGAACGTTGGCAATGCCCTTGTATCCAAAATTTCTGCCTAAATAAATTTTTTGATTTAGTTTCAAAATGTGTCCATTTCGTTTCACACATTAGTTCAACAAGTGGATAATCTTTAAATCTTACCCAATTCTTATTGGAGACAAGGTGTATAAGTCTGCCAACATAATCAAATCTTTGTTGTTCGTGAAAGTGCAAATGACTTTATTATAAGTAACTCAACAGTCAAAGTGTCATTAAACATTATAAAATGGTCTCAAATCTCCATGCTACCACTAATAAAAAACCACCATGGTGTACTTATGGAACTTTAAATAGCACCGAGATCACGATAAGTTCACAACTATTGCACTTTCTATGCCACGTATATCTATGGATCTCCAATTTCAAAATAACAAATGCTGTCTGATGAATAATATAGACGAGGAAGAAACACTTTACCATTGTAGCATTTCAAAGTCCACTGAACTTTAGGAGAATCAGGATCAGGCAACTGCACAGTCAGATGCTCAACACTTGCAATAGGAGACCTAAGAACAGAACAAACAGCCTAAACTTGATACATCAATACTTACACTCTCCGATTGATTCCATGTAAAAACAATGAAATATGGTACCATACCTTCAACAACACGCTACATTGGACTTGTGCACCAGAAATCGTGTAGACGTCAAAGAAACTTGACTTAAATGTAATAGACTGATATGCAGAGCGTGATGAATTGAGTGTGTGAAAAACAAGCTGCGAAAATCAATTCCTTCTAAGTAAGTTTCAACTCTTCAATAAGCAAAACAACAAATAATATAGACTTAGAAACTTTGAATTCCTTCTGGGTTTGTTTGAATTTCTCAGCAACCAAACAGAGCCTGATCAGTAAAAATTAGTGGATTCTTCTTCTTTTTAACTTTATCTCAAATAATTATCTGAAAAATAATACTAAATAAATCTAATTAATCGATTTATACTCTCCAAACACTACAGCCGCCTATAACCCTAATTAAGATCAATAGGTTGCATTTCGAAGCGTAATTAATGGATCATCGAAGAAGCATTACATGTAATTAACAAAAAAATCCACCAGAAAAAATCAAATTAAGTCAAGCGTTCGAATACAACCGTCAAATCGTAAAATTAAAGGACGAGAAAAGCCAGCGACAGGTAGAGCGAGAGAGAGAACCTGAGAAGAAGAAGCTTGAATGACAAGCTCGTTGCCTAGACGTGCAAGGCACGTAATGGACCTGGCGAAGGTCTTCAGAGCGTTTTCGCTTACAGAGAACTCCATTTTTCTTTCGTTTTGATTCTCTCGGCCTCTGTAATAATAATTTGGGTTGGCGGGAAGGGGAAATAATATATTTATTTCATCAGGATTATTTCTAGCCGTCCATCTTCAGATTGGGATCCATCATCATGTTGCTGACGGTCCAGATCTACTAAAAAGCAAATTTCATAAATTTCATAGAGTTCTGAAATCTAATCCAATTTTATTTTAATTAGTTATTTAAAAGCAACTACGAAAACGACGCCGTACCATACTTCACAGGGCATTTTTGTCCATATGAACCACTAGGGTTTTGCCCTAAGTCATATATAAACCTCCAAAGTTCGACACTCTCCTTCTCCTCAACGCTTCGCAGTTGCAGTCTTGAGTCTCCCCCTCTCTCAGGTATTGTTTCTCACCATTTATCTTTCATATGCTATGTACTCGCTGCAATCAATTGGGTTTTAATAAAAAAGAACTGGGTTTCGCCATTTGAATCAGGTGCTTTTAGAACTACTTTTTTCGAGCTATCAAAACAACCGGCCAAGATGCAGAACGAGGAGGGGCAAAACATGGATCTCTACATCCCCAGGAAGTGGTACGTTATTTTGATAAATGAAAACGGTGCCTTTAGTGATTGAAAGTTTCTTTTAAGTGAGATTACTTTATTGAAAATTTGTTTGCGTTTTCAGTTCCGCCACCAACAGGCTCATCACCTCCAAGGACCACGCATCTGTTCAGATCAACGTTGGACACGTGGATGCTGATGGCATTTACACCGGCCAATTCTCCACTTTTGCTCTCTGTGGCTTTGTTCGCGCTCAGGTATTTATTTATTTAATTTTTTTTTGTGTAATTTATTTATATAAAGGCATATAAGAGCTTTAGATATTTGTTTTGACGAGCTATAGTTATGTTAATTGATAGGGTAGATGGGAGAGGATAATGAATGTGTCATAAATTGATTGGTTTGTTGTACAGATAACTTGGTGGCTTGGTTGTTTCTTCAGACTTTGATATAGGAAAATATTTTCATTGGTGATGAACTGTGTGTAGCAGAAACTTGTCCTCCATTTTGTTAAATGGGTGTGCTAAAATTTATGAAGTGATCAGGTTATTTGTGCATAGTTTCCTTACTATACTTTTCTAGTATAGTTGCAGCATGGTTGTAGAAATGAAAAACGCTTATAAAGCTGGTTTCGGTGCGATTTTGTCAGCAGGGGTGCGTTTGTATCATCTTTTGCTGTTAGGTTTGCTGTTCATGTGGCACCATTTAGAGATAATGCTGAATGTTTGTGAGGGATGTTATGTTTTTATTTTTTAGTGTCTACTTTATTCTGTTTTGTTAGTGGTATATGGAAGATGTGAAGAAAACCATGGTAGCTCTCTTGTGCAGTTCTAGCCCCATAAGCCGTGTTTGAAATGGGATTGGGGAATTAGAAATATTTGCAAGGGTCATAATGCAGCCCATATATTGGCTTTAGAATGTGGTTGAGTTTTGAAACAAAAGAGAATATTGTTAGAAGTGACTATTTTTTATGAACTACCGTCTGTTAATTGTCAATTTGGGTGTCTTGAATAACTACGATTCTACGAATGCATGTAGTGGTGGATATTGAGTTTCTAACAAGTTCCCTGTGGATGCTATTATTTTGTGCTTTTAAGTGGTTAACTAAATTGTCAATTTGGTGGCTCAATCCTGTAGGGTGATGCTGACAGTGCCCTTGATAGGCTGTGGCAAAAGAAAAAGGTTGAAGTCCGACAACAATAGGAACCATGAGAGCAGGTTGTGTCTTCTTAGCAGTTCTCTCATCCTGCAAGGGGAGGAAATGTTATAGGGATTACTGATTTGTTCTAGTTTAATTTGTGGACCATGTTAATTTATTGTTGTTTTGGACAAAACTATGTCTAGTACTTAGTTTTCTTCTGTGTTGGACCTAAGATCACAGCTTTTATTATAGCCATGGATGACCTATGCAAGTTTTGCTTTTCGTTCTGGCATTTGAGGTCTGATATTACATTCCATCTTTCTTCTTCTATGGTATAAAGATTAAAGCATCGGGCTTGGTTTATGCATCTTTGTTGAAAGTCTTTTTATGTATAATTGAATGCAAATACGTCTGTTACTCAAAACATTAATAGGAGCATATAACCATCAAGAGTGCTCAGCCTTTTGCTAGATCTTTCAAAGCTGTAGCTTCTGTAGGAGAATAGAAGGCTTCTATTGGGGTTTAGAGTTTGATAAATCTCTTAGAATAGGAAAATTATGAACAATTGATAGAAAATTTCAAGAAATATAATACAAGCCACTCAATCTGCTCAATTTCGTTATTTAACCAATGCTAAATTTGGCAAAGTAATCTGAGTTCAACTGGCTTTAAAAATGAAAAATGCTAACCTTATTTATTTCTTTTACTCACTTTTAAATAACATATAGTATTCATATTATGCGCATGGTATCCGTATTATGTTTTATATTTACAAAAGTGAGTATTATGTTTTATATTTATAAAAGTGAGTAAGACTAATATTACTCTTTAAAAATTAATGTTCACTCAGCTTATTATAATTTTCTACTGTTACTTATGGGCCTGGACCTTGGTTGGATTAAAGTGGCCGCAAGTACTTGCTTTGGTCTCATTGATTGTTTTATGTGGACCAAACCATTAACAATATAGCATACACAGAATTTTTGTTTTTCTCGGCTGATTAGGGTGTTTAGGTTAGTTTGCATGTACTTTGACTAATTTAGGGGTCTATTGAATACTCTACAAATAAATATTTGAGTCTATTAAATACCTTAAAAGTTCAATGGGTCAAATAAGTCACAAATGTGGTAGATGACTATTTCGTGGAACGTGAACACAAAATCTCTGGGTAATAGGTCTTGCCATCCGACCACAGTCAAGCGGTTTTTAGAATTCATTTTGTTCAATAGTAACAACTCACCTAAATATGGATGCGAATTTAAGATGTCAAAGAAAGTGATAACTTAATATATTAAAAAATGTGATAAAAGAGAGTAATATGTTGATAATATATTTAAAATATGATAAAAGAAAGTGATAACTTAATAATAATATATTAACAAACATGTTTACTTGAAAATATGCTTTATAACATTATAAAATTTATTTCTTTTGTCCATGAGTTTAAGATTAAATTGAGACAGGGTTAATATATGTGAAATAAGAAGCTATTATTTAAGTTATAATTATAATAAACAAACAAAGAATTTACAAGTATATTGAAACAAATTTCTCTCAAATAATTTGTCAAAACATAAATGCATAATCAAGTGGAACCCATTCTCAAGTTAGCTTTTATAAAGAAATGAAAGGAAAAACAGAACCTATCCATGGGTAGCCCAGATGGTTAGAGCGAATTGGAAGATAGTGTGGATAGACGTACGATTATTGCGCTAGTCTCTTCCGAGGATTAATCAATGTACAAGTAAACTGGTTCGGACACTTTGGTTACAAAAATAATAATAATAATAATGATAACTTTCTTTGTTATTGGTTAATTAAAATGATTGGTAACAGGCAGGAGTTAAAGAAAAAGAAAAAAAACCCAGATTCTGAGCTTTTCCTCCATGTTTTCAGGAGCTTGTTAGTTTTATAGTTCTTTGCAAATTATTAATCAAAAAAAAAAAAAAAATTCAGAACATTTACTACTTATGGCATGCTATGCAATACAAATTACATCAATCTATCATAAATTTATTTTTCTTCATTGTTGAATCCAGCAACAGAACACTAACTTAAAAGAAGAAATGGGTTCAACTTTTTAATATTGTTTCCAATGTGTTTTGACAAGTAAACAAAACAAAATAAACATTGAAGTAGGTGTTTACCAAGACTCTCCTTTTTGGTTTAGAGACAGTGGGTAAGATTTCAACTACCATATTTTTTTTAATTTGTTTGTTTATTTCCCAATTGGGTATGTGGCTCTATACAATTTTTTTCTGCAATTTTTAAGGGGGTCAAGTCCCCTGTTTGTGAGACATCTTATTTTCAATGCTTGGCTGCTAGTGAAAGGAAAATTCTTTTAGGTATAACTATAATCTCCCCTAGAACCAACAAGTTTGGTAGCCATTAGGCCAATGGAGATTTGAGTTAGATATTCTATCATTGTATTTGTATCTCTCATAATACATTTTCAGGGTTTCGACGTCGTCATTTTACAAATTCAGGTTTATAATGTTACAAGTTTTATCATTACAGTTTATCGACAGATTTGTAATATCAACGAGTGAATTTATAACATAAAGTTGAATTTTTTGACGGCTTTTAGTCTTTGTGTGGTACATTGACTAGAGATTTCTAGAGAATTTTGGGGCTTGGCGAGGAAGATAGGTTTAGATTAAAGGAATCAGATTCCAGATAAAATGGGAAGCTGCCGAGGAAGAGTATGCAATTGTGACGAAAATCCACATGGGTTCAGTCAACCGAACTTAGTTGTTTGTTCTTTTGGATTAAGATTCCCAAAAGTCATTTTCATACTTTGTACCAACGATTCTCAACAAGTCTTGCTTTGCGTTTAATATTTAGTGTTTATTACATATAAACCTCTATATGATCGATTAATATTAAATGTATAAGTAGTTTTAGAAAGTATTAAGCATCATACATTAGGCAATTTTGAAACTTTAGTGTCTAGGTCAGTTCAGTTTTTTTTTTTTTTAAACAGGATGTCCAGACCAGTTTGTATGCACATTAACTAATCATTATCCTTATAAGTGACTAGCGCAACATCTCACCATCATAATCACTTATTTAAATATTAGGAGTTGGAGGAATTCAAACCTGGGATCGTACACCTTAACCACATATCTCAATACTCATTCTACCGCTTGAGCTACCCAAGGGTGGGTCCATTGAACAAACCTTTATGCAATAAGTTGGCAAATAGTAGGTAGAATTCTTATGCAATAAGTTGGCAATAGTGGGTAGATGAAAGTATAATTTAATTTTTCTTGTTAATGATTAGTGTTTTTAAAAAAAAAAAAAAAAAAAACTCCTATTGTTGATACAGGGAAACACTCCAAAATCAAGAATCAGAATAATACTAAAACAGTAAGGTTCCCCTTGGCAACGAAGCTGATTGGAATATCAATCGTCAAATGAGGTTTCTAGTGGGGAAGGGAATAAGTAAACAAGAGCCTTCTAGAGATTGGAAAGGAGATAATTGGAGGGACTCATTGGTGCGTTTTCATTTTTAATTTTTTCCAAACTTGTAGTGGAAGTTGTGGACAGTTGGGTCCATATATATATATATTCCTTGCAAGATTATTTAAGAAATAGGAGGAATGATGCCCTTATAATGTGTTATAATCTACAAGGAACCATTAAATGTTAGTTCTTGTTGACTTGAACAATAACACTAAGCCAACCTTAAGTAGGAGTAAACGACTTTTTCCCACCCAAGGTTTGCCTTTATGGCACTTTCTTACTTAAAAAGTTTCAAAATATCAATTTTTTACCCAAAATTTATATTCCTTTAATATCCAAAATATATTTTACTTTTACAGTTGACGTTTGGCGGTTTACCAAGAGATAGGGTAAGAGGAGTTTTGTAGAGTGGAGACCGGTGAATCGAATGGTGGTAACTGATTGAATATTCGTCGCTAGAATTAGCCGAAAATTAATTAAGAATAAGAAACCCTAGCTTTACAGTGACCAGTAATTGGCGAAAAATCATGTGTCGGAGTGAGAAGGGTTTTATGAAGAGGGGATCGGAAGTTCAAATGATAGCGGCAATGGTGAGAATTTTTGTAGCCGAAATTGGTTGGAATTGACTTTGAGTAGTAACATAATATTAACTTTGGATGGGAAATTAATATTTTGAAACTTTTTCGGTGGGAAAGTTTATTAAGGCAAACCTTGGGTGGAAAAATCATTTACTCAACCACCTTAAGTATCACATAGATGACAAACTTTTATGTCACTTCTACCAAAATATGCATCATATAGAAGCATAGTAATGAATTTAGCAAGTGGGTCTGGGGAAAAAGGCACTCTTTCCCACAATAAATAGACCAAAAAACATAGTGTTAGGTCAAGAACAATCAAATAGAATTTAAAACAACCTACCATTAATTCAACTTCTGACCAAAATCATGATCTTGAATTTTTATTTAATGGACCCTTTTCCCAATTGAAGAGAGAAGGTTGAGAGAGCATGGAAAGAAGTAAAAAGGCCTGCTAAATGTGCATTATAGAACCGTACCAACTTTACTTTTATTACCAAAGTGGTGTGGGGAGGCCTGGCTGAGGCCTCACCTCTTACTACGTATTTTCTTGAGTTTTCTCCTTACTTACTTTTTTTGTCTTTTCTTTAATATACATAGTAAAGGAGGCAGGCAAGCAATCTCACACACTCCAAAGATGGTTTTTAATGAGAGAGAGAGAGAGAGAGAGAGAGTTCTTTTCGAAAGAAAAATAGGCCCAAAGTTCAATACTTCATCTTTGGGTAATTTTAAAACCACCCTCGGATTTTCAAAAATTATTCGTTTATGTTCATTTGGGTGTCTTCTTTGAAGATCAATCCTCAGGTTTTGGAGCTAACACCCTTTCACTCTTTGTCACTCTCTTATTCTCCTTGCAACACGCATACGAAAGACAAAATCAACAACTTTATTATTGTGGTAACAACTTAAAACTTTTTTTTGTCTTTTGTATACAGGTCACAAGGAGGGCGAGAGAATGCAAAAGAGCGTGTTGCTAATATTTCTCTAAATCGACTTTTTTGTTCATACTTTTATACATGTCATGAATCATATTTGACGGCGAAGATGTTTGAAGTCTAAAATTATTAAAATTTCTTTTTTGTTAAGTATAGTTCATTAGATGTACAAAATTGAGGGTGAAAGAGTCATTTCATGTAAGTTTGTGAGAGAAAAAAAGCGTTCTCAACTCTACTTGAGGATATGTTAGAAATTTAACCTATTCATCCTTCTCACCACCATTGATAGTGAAAGATTTATAGAATATCATGCTTAGATTTAACAGGGAATTTAATGGCTTTGACCAAAATATATAATAAAGTAAAATAAAAAGAAGTACTTATTTTCAAAGTGACCACAAAAACCATGACTTTACACATTGTAAACTATCTTTCCACTTCACAATCTTGGATCTCCTTTAAACATCCTCCTAACTTCTACGTCATTTCCCACAATTCCCAATCAAAATTTCTCTTTACACATCATAAAGACACCCCCAAAGGGTCCTACAAAATTATTCAAACATTGTAGCAAAGAGAAATATCAAAAAAACCATTATAAAAGGTCATATCATCTTAAGCTTCCATCTCCTTGACACATGTCCATTTGGGTACTTCAATACCTCTCAATTGGTCAAATTTTCATTATTTTTATCTTAGTTTTGGCCACATGTTACCTTAAATCTTATAATCTTTTGGACCCATTAAGCATAATGTCATTTACTTGTTCATATCTTTAATATAAGCCAAAATTGCCAACTCTACTTTCCACTTGGAAACAACTAAGCATTACAAGGCTAAAACTACAACTTTTAGTGATTAAAGATGACTAAATAAAGCTCTAATTAAACACCAACAACACCCACTAAAGCAAAACCCCAAAGGCCTCTCTTATTTTTTTAAACCCTAACTCAAAACTACAAATCTTACTTTCATATCTACATAACATTACAAAATGTCAAAATCATCCCTGCATTACACTTATACAAGTAGTATAAGTTCATAATTCAAAATAATGTCCAAATGCATCGTTTCACTCATAGTTCATCACATAATTGAACATGCATTTGGGTTTTCATCGCTAAACATCTCGAATGAACCGGAAGGTTGTGGCGGGTACGAGTACGAGTACGAGTCAAAATCCGACGGTGCAGGTTCGTTTCCAACCCCTGGATTCGTGTACGCATATGTATATGTTGTCGTCGGTGCTGCCGCATAATATGAAGTACTATAACCAGTGCTGGGGTGGGCTGTATTGTAACTCACAGCATAAACAGGGGGTGGATAGTAATGTGGTGGTGGATATTGATACCCGTGCTGACGTGGCGGGCTGTAATTGGCCGTAGATGGAATAGGGCCTTGAACACTAGGCCCATGAGGACCAGGACCATGACCATGAACATGAACTGGTGATCCAGTACCTGCAGGTGCATTACTAGAAGGTTCGGCTTCACCTTCACCAACATTATTATTGTTATTCCCTTTATGCCCTTTCTTTTTCTTCTTTTTACCCCCACCACCACCACCACCACCACCACCACTTTTCTCAGCACCACCTTCACTTTCTCCACCAACTTTCTTCTCAGCAACCGGAGACTGGCCACCGGCCGGCAACATCACAACCTGTTTCACCTCATTCTTCACCTCCTTCACCTGTCCACCAGACTTACTGGTTGAAGTTGCACCACCTTCACATATCTTCACAACATGAACACCATCACCATTACTTTTACCACCATTGTTTTCGTTCTGTTTTGAAGAGTCTTGTCCTTGACCTTCAACCTTCCCCGTTTCTTTTTCCGCAGAATTATTTTCTTCACTGCTCTCGTGATCATTTTGTTGCTGTTGCTTCTCTTTGTTCTTTGATTTGCTTTTCTTCTTCTCTTTTTGTTCTGGCCATAACTCTGCATGTTTACCATACTTCTTTTCAAGCTTTTTGATCAAAGTCTCGGCGTCTACATCTCCAAAAACAGTTACTTTTTGTTGTCTCAAATCAATTTCTGTCCTGTAAACACCTGCAAAAAGAAGAAACAAGAACACCCAGATGAGAAAGTGAAAGATTTTGAGAGAAAAAACAGGTAAAATGATGGAAAGTTACCAAATAAATATTGGAAGAGAGAATGAAGAGAACCCAGATGAAGAAAGTTTGAGAAACTTTGAGATTGAAGCTGAAATAGAATATATTTATAAATAATAATAATAATAATAAAAAAGGATGGATAAATCAAGAAGAGATGAACAAGAATTGAATAAAAAAGACATAAAAAGTCAAACTTTGAGCAAAATTTCATCAAAACAGAGAATTTCTTAGACTATACCACAAGATTTAGAAGTTAAATTTATTACCATCAATGTTTGTTAGGATCTTCTTCACTTTCTTTTTGCAACCTTCACAGTGAATAGAGACTCTCAACACCCAAGCCTGGGAAACAAAGAAATTAAACCACGTTAAACAAAAACATAAATCTCCATGAGAAAAGATTAAAGTGTTCAAACAAGAAGAGCAAGTTTCATTTCATCACCTTGCACTTGAGATCAGCTTCTTCAGCTTCTTTTTCTTTAGCTTCTGGTTTTGCTTCAGTTTTGGCTTCAGTTTTACCTTCAGGTGCAGCCATTAGAGAATATGCAAAAGGGAGAGAGACGAGAGTTGAGATATGCTTCGAGAAGAAGCTCAAAAAGAAGATATGCGAGTGAAGTGGAGGGCTGGAGTCGAGGCTTAAAGAGAGAGAGAGGTGAAAAAAATATCAAGTAGGGCCTTGGATTTGGTGCTTGGTGGGGTGTCAATAGTACTTTGCTTTTATAAATTGTTTTATGAAAGTGTTTTGCTTTGTTATAATGGACACCTATCAATTTAGCATTTGATGCTTTTTGCTTAATTCCCTTTTGCTAGCAAGGATTATAGTTACTTTGGTTTTAATTATATAAAATAATTAAACTTTATAGTGATTTTAAGAGGAAATAATATAACTTCCAACTAATCAAAATCTTTTGTCTTGTATGCAATAACCAATGACACAAGGGTTTAATTATGAGTTTTCTATTAATTTACCTTCAATAATATGCTCTTGTAAACTTACCTTAGGGTAAAGTTAATGGTTTTTTTTTTTTTTTTTTTTGGGTTATATAACTAGGGTGTCTAGGTCAGGTCGCGTGCATCTCAATTATTTTTCGCGATTTTAACGGATCAGATAAGTCACAAACGTGATAGGTGACCACTTTATTAGACTTAAACACAAAGCTTCTGAGTAATTTATCCGATAGCTAAAGTTTTGCCATCTAACCATAAGGCTAGTGCTTTTAATGGTTTGTTTTCAGTTAGTCAAGAGTTCAATCTTCTTTCTTTTGTTTTTTTAAACATTATAGGTTCGATAAAACTATAGTTTTATATTCGTATCTGTAAAAAGAGTTTGGATTTATGACAAAATTTGATCATTGTTTTCACTTTTTAAACTCGAATTCGTAAAACGTGTTAAAACCCATGACCAAATTTAAAAATTGTTTCTTACTTTACAAAAGATTGTAGGTTTTGATGACACAAAGGTATAATCATGAGTTTTCTATTAGTTACCCTTTAGTAATTTGCTCTTGTAAACTTAGGTTAGTTTAAACTTAAATGGTTTGTTTTAGTAAAGTCATTAGTTCAATTTTCTGGTTTAATTTTTGTTTCTCGTTTTTCAAAGATTATAGGTTCGATGAAAATATAGTTTCCTATTCAGATATGTAAAACAACTTCAAACTTATAACAAAATTTGCTCATTATTTTTCATTTTTAAAACTCGAATCCGTAAAACCTATCGAGACTCTTGACCAAATTTGGAAATTATTTCTTACTTTACAAATATTGTAGGGTTGGACAGGGTTTTTACTGTATTCTAATTTGATGAAAAGATCATTAATAAGGGATTGATTTAATTTTGGCAATGCATTTATGATTTTGTGAGGAGTGGTAAGAACTTTGATTGCAAGGAATCACAAAGAATAAAGTTACTCTTTCATTAATTGCAAAACTATTCCATCTTAATGCTCCAACAAGCTAATTTTGGTTTTTATTTATTAAGGCCAGAGTCCAGACACAATAATAAGCTTCTACTTCTTGAAATAACTATCTATATTTAGATAGTTTATTTAATTTCATCTCCTTTCTTCTTAACTTGCTTCTCCTCCTTCAAAGCTTTTTGTGAGCAACTTGGGTTTTGGAATTACTTATTACAAACCCAATTCTAGAGTTTTAAATTTTGATGCTATTGCTCTTTTTTTTTTTTTTAACTCTTTCGTATCTTCAGATAAGATTGAACCAAAATATTAAGGAGTCCGTTTGGTTTATTATTTCATACCCTATTTCCAATCTTATTCCCAAAATAACTGTTTGTTTAATTATTTAGAAAATACTATTATATTCTTTTAATTACTTTTAGACCCCTTAAGTTTATTAATATCATAAATACCCCTAGAAAAAAAGTTTAAAAATTAACAAAAACACCTCCACCCACCCATGGTTGCCAGATTTCGGCAACCACCGTCTGTAGTTGCCGGAATCTATCACAACGACATAGAAACAATTGGAAATGACCGATAATTTGTCGATCTAGCCTTTTCTGGTTAGATCTACACTGGATCTAGCCGAAAAAGGCCAGATATGGCCGTCATTGACGGTCAACGACGGCCATATCTTTGCGGCCAAATCTAGCCTTTTGCAGCCATCGAAGGCTAGATCTGGCTGTAGATCTGGCATTTTCCAGCCAGATCACTAGTGGATCTGGTCGAAAAAGACCATATCGACGCACTACCGATCAGATCTAACCGGTCTGCGTCATAACGCCATTTTTCGGCCAGATTCCAGTGGTGGTGGTCGGAATCTGGCACTGTGGGTGGGTGGGGTGTTTTTTCATTTTATAAAATTTTATATATTGGGGTGTTTAGTTAAATTAGCAAACCTATGGGGTTTTTTTTTGTGAATTTTTAAATTTTATCTCGTAATACTCACCATATTCAACTACCCAATATTATTTCCAAAATTCTATCCAAAATAACAAAACAAACGGACCCTAAAGTTTCCAATTTTCTATTCCATACGCTTTTCACCCAGTATTTGGGTGTTTCGATTGGTTCGAAGAACGTCTTCAGATTCAAACGATTACAAATGATATAACTAGTAAATACGTTACTCCTCGTATCAACATATTTATCTCATGTATGCATTGTCACTCTTTTATGCATATACTCTGATTTCTTTTTTTTTTTAAATTTGGATGATTTAAAATTATATTTGAAAAAAATTATTAGGTGTAGACATTTCGAAGTGTCTAACATGTGAATATACAAAACCTTATATAGTTTTAAAGGCCTATCACTTACAAACTTTAAATCACTTCGTCAAAGATTGATTAACACGAAATCTTTTCATAAAAGTCACTATGTTTGGCTTACTATTTTTATCCAGATTCTGGATCCTATTCTCCAAATAATGTTTGGCACGTTATTCCAAGAATATTACCCTATTTTTTTAATTACTTTTAGACCCCATAAGGTTATTAATTTCATCAAATATACCCTAAAAAAAAAGTTTAAAAATTATCAAAAACACCCCCACAACCCATACTCGCCAGATTCCGGCAACCACCGTCGGTGCTAGCCGAAATCTATACAACGGCCAACCTTCCGACCATAAATGGCCGGAAGTTCACCGATCTGTCCTTTTCCGGCCAGATCCACCACGGATTTGGCCGGAAAAGGTCAGATCTGGCCGTGAACGACGGCCAAATCTTCGCCATCGTTGACCGAAAACGACGGCCATATCTTTGGTCGTCGCTGACGGCCAAAGATGGCCGTCGTTTTGGCCTTTTTGGGCCGTTGACGGCCACGACAGGCCGTAGATCTGGCCTTTTCCGGCCAGATCTGTGGTGGATCTGGCCGGAAAAGGCCATAACGACTTGTTACGACACAGATCCGACCGATCTGTGTCGTAACTCGATTTTCCGGCCAGATTCCGGCGATGGTGGCCAGAATTTGGCACTGCAGGTGGTGGGGGTATTTTTGTCAATTTACATGTTGGGGGTATTTATGAAATTAGCAAACTTAGGGGGTTTTTCTATAAATTTTTAAATTTTACCTCGTAATACTCCCATATTTAATTATCCAATACTATCCCCAAAATCCTACCCAAAATAATAAACCAAATGCATACTATATTTTTGTAAGTTCTACTTCAATAGACTCTTCTTCTATAAGCTTTGCTTGAATAAACCGTATCAAATGGATTCAAAAATTTAAAGTGTAGCTGTTATAATTTTATGGGTTCTAAAGTTAAAAACTTACAAACAATCAGAATTGAGTATATCTATTTATATATATATATCTTTTTTGAACTGAAACTTTATGCAAAAATGTAATCAAATTCTTAGAGGCCCACTGCCCAGAATCAAGTTGAATCTAGCAGAGAGTGAATCAGTACTTTATTCAAACTGTAATTATGTGTTGGTTGGTTATTAGGATAGTTTTTAAAATAATATTTTGAAAAAGTTAAATTAGAAGGATATTATAATGTAAGATTTAAAAATTAACAAAAATATTCTCTATATTTATTTATTTACTAAACACCCCTATAATAAAAGATTAAAAGTTAACAAAAACACCTCCAATCCATCTATTTAATACGAACAGTCGGCCACCACCGTCGGAGAGTGGTCTGAGTGTTTTTGTAATTTTTAAAAAAAATATTTAGAAGTATTTAGTTAAATTAAAAAATTTAAGAGGGTTTAAATAAAATTAAATAATATAGAATAATATTTTGAGAATAAGTTATTTTTACTATTTAACTTTATCCAGAATACTAATAATAGTATTCTCAAGAGTGAAACAAACGGATATACTTCTGCTACGGGAATTTTAAGCACTCAAGCATATGGTTTTGTACCAAGAACATTACTATAGAGGAAGGCCAGAGTAAATAAGAGTAAATTACATTTTCCCACCCAAAGTTTGACAAGATACTTTGTCCACCCATAAACTTTGGAAAAAAACATTTTCCCACCTATAGTCAATCTCAGTCAATGGAATTTTTTATGGGTAAAGCTACGAAAATACTATAATACCCTTTACTATGTGACTTTATAATTTTGAACTGGTTAGATAATATTTTTCCCATTTAAACTTTATTAAATATATTTTTCACCCCTACTTTGATTTTATGTTAATTTTAGGGTTAATTTATTACTTCTTTTGCCGTTAAAACTAACATTTGAATTTTAATGATGAGTGGAAAAATGTTTTTTTCAAAGTTTATAGCTGAGAAAATATATATTTGCCAAACTTTGGGTGGGAAAATATCATTCTCTCTCTGAATAATCATAAAGAAATTCTCATTAAAAAGTATATGTAAAATCTTATTAAATCTCTCCAAGTAGTACAAGAAACATTACATTTTTAACTAAAGTAGAGTCCACAAAAACTATTATAAAGATTACATTTATGTATGCTGTAGAAGGAACATCACATAAATTAAACTTATATTACATTTACAAAAAGAATTAAATTTAAAATAAAAGATAAAGAAAGAGTAAAAGCACTAAAGACAAATTCAAAAGTTCTCTTTATGAAAATCAAATTTGGTTGTAGTTTTCCTAGAAAAGTCTTGAGCTAGCCGCCTTAATTCTCCAGTCAGTCCTGGAGCTCCACAGTAAAACACCCCTGTTACAAAAAGCAAAATCCCCATCATTTCCTTAACCCCATATTCAATAAAGATAATCACTTTAATTATTTAGTCTCCCTTTAACCGCCCTATTCTTATGCACCAAACAAAAAATATTGATACTTATAAATAAAATATGAGTGTTAGCGACCAGGCCAAGTGTGATAATTGTTAGAATAAAGTGATGTTGATAAACATTTCTCACAACTTTTTTTCGTAAACGTTAACGTGATAGCTCGTAATTGATTAGACAAGATCTATTGTTTGGCAGACAGAACCCATTGCGAATTGATCAATTACGAGCTGATATGTCGTGTTTGTGAGAGAAAGTTAATGAGAAGAGTTTGGGAGTGTAGTATTAATATATAGTACTTACCAACTCTTTCGTCGGTGTGCTTCATGGCAACGTGCTTGAAAACGGTACGCCAGTTAGGTCTAGCGAAATGTGTTTTAACTTGGGTACCTGACACGATGTCAAGACCATTTTTAGCATGGTTGAGAGATTGAAGCATGGTGATTAGAGCTGATCTTGCATCTCCTTCTTCGTAGACACTAGTGCAATAGTTATGAAGCTCGATGATTCCGTCTAGATCGTAATCTGCAACCTCGTTCATGACACCCCTAAACCACTCAAACGAGCCTTGCTCGCGAGTGACCCAATAGAAATAAGCACGTTTGGTTGCGAAAGGCTTTTTCTTATTGTTTTTGGCTTGTCCACCCTCTACTATTCCTTCTTCCAATTCTTTCTGTTGCCTAATGTTGTTAAGAACATCTTTTACAATGCTGATCAATGGGGTGGCTCCTATGCCAAGGCCAACCAAGAGGAGCACATCATATTCCTTGTAGTCTTGTGCAGGAGCTCCATATGCGCCATCAATCAAGAGTTTTGGCAACCTGTTAATATGACAATTTGTTGTATTATACTTCTAACGCGCGCGATAACCTACCAGACAAGAATTAGCTTAAAAAAAGGAAAATTACCTGGGCTTGTTTTCGCTGTCCCCGACGTCTGCTCTTAGAAGGCCACTTTGATTCATTGATGGAGGCTGACATACCTTAGAGAAGAGGGTTTTGAGTTGTGATGTCCAGTCACCCAAAGTCCTAATATGGATGCTCAGATAATCATCCCCAGGAGCTGAAGTAATGGAGAAGGGGTGCCTGTGTAAAGATCCAAAGTTATTAGCATTTTTGTGTTAAGTTTTTGTGAAATTAAGTTGGTACAAATTCAATCCTTAGATTTACCATTGAAATGGGGACACATCTGCACAATTTACAAATATATATTGCCCACTAGTGTATTTGAATCCTTGAGGCTTTGACATGTGCAGGGCCAGAACATTTCCAGGGTACACTGCAACCTGAATTATAAAGATGAAGCATGTTACATTTGTACATTCTGAAACCAAAAAATTATGCAATGTTAGACATCAGGATTGTTGATTAATGTACCTTAAGAATCTTCACAGATTTATAGCCCGACCTGAATGCGCGAGTCAAGCGTTCACATGCGTATAATAGAACCGGGACGGCCAGATACATCCAGGTCTAAAGCAACATTCCAAAACATTGTTAGAATTCATATGAATTATAAGTGTTAGTGTATAATTACCAGTTTTAAAGCAGCTTACCGTTTTCTTGTACCATTTCTTGGAGAGGAAGAGATAGTATCCGTGAATGACGAACAAAACATACACAATAACAAACAGGTGGTGTGAGTACCAGAAGGCGTTGAAACCGGTGAGTTTCTTCAGGAATTTTGGGCGCTTTAGCCTGTTGCGGCGAAACCATGGTTGTGCTAATATGTAGGCAATGGCCATGAGCACCACCATCACCACACCAGTCCAACCCTCAGTCCCTTTCACAAACCACCAGTAGTTTTCCGGGCGATCTTCGCCAAAGAATTGCTCCATTGGCTCATACTCATCATCGGTTGTATGTAGCAGCCTTGGAAAATCACATGTAAGATGTGCAATTCCATGTAGTCCAACTCCAATAGCAATCCCAAAAGCAACCACCTATACAGATCAAAACATTAGAAAACTATTAAAAGACAAAATTTTGCGGTTTATTCGTTACAAAGAAACCTCTATAATTCATACCTTGTGAAAATTGATGTTGTCATCAAAGGGAACAACAGCTCCAAGCTTGGTTTTACTTCTAAGCAAAGTAATGGTATTTCTACAAACTGGGAGAAGAATTAGTGCCATGTTGAATTTGAGTGTCTCAGCTGCACCCTTAGCTGTGGTAACACAGTACCCCATTACATCGAACACGGCACGATTTTTATACTGAATGAATTTCCAGGTGAAAAGGCCTGCACAGATAGAAAGCCATAGTGCCATGACCCAAATCCTCTTCCAATTGTCCTCAACAAAGTAGGCTAGCCCCCTGTACCATTTCTTGATCACATTTCTGTCTTTGGTTGGCACCAATCTTTCACTTAGCATCTGGCTCAACATCCGACTATCGGTTATCAGGTTAGTTGATTGATTTGGGGCTTGCAGTAGCAGCATTTCCAAGTTGTACAACTGCAGAAAACATAAAAATTAACCTTATTATCTTCAGGTTTGTCAGGTGAAACTCCTCATCATTTTCTGAAAACAGTATCTGAAAACAAAAACAAGACTAAACAATGTGTTCACATTGGGCCTGGACTAGAATGAGCCCAAAAAGACTGACCTCAACATATCCAAGATTGTCTGGGTCAAGCTCTTCCATGATTAAAGCTGCATATTCCTCTGCACTTTCTTGGATTTTTGACAGCTTATTTGCAGATGCACTAAGAAGAATAATCTGTGAAATAACATTTAAATATAAATAATTAATGTATAAATCCTTTTAGAAACTAATGTAAACTTCATTGAACCTTTCAATCGTAAACAAAATCTCACCTCTTTCACTTCCTTTTCAGTGATTCTGCCATCTAAATTTTTGTCCACCCTGCATTTGGTACATTTCCATTAGAACAAAAATTGAACAATCATCTGCAACTCATAAACACTAACTAAATTGAAGCAATTTGATTCTGACTGTAGCCAATCTCATGTTCATCTGAGTGTGGACTGATTATTATTATTATTATTATTATTTGATATTCTCCAAATTCTTCTATAAATACTGAATTTCAACAGACAGATTGGAAAGTCAACGACATATACCTAAATTTGTCAACAACTAATGGGTTAAAAAATTGCACATGCAATATGCACTATATGCGGGATTGATTCCTTCTATTATTGAGAAGGAATATATCTTGATGTTGCATGAAAGAGGTTATAATTGAGATTTCACTTCCACATACTATTGCTATCACTGCTCTGCATGGAAAAAAATTATCAAATGTTCATTAAATAATCTCACATGTCAAAGAAGGTTTGCAGTCTCGCATCAAAGCTCTGATCAGTAATTTGTTCCCAAAATCCTTGCAGTTGAGCCTTTGTAATTGAATCTGAATTTATTCCTCTCCTACGAGCCAATGCATCAAACAATTCGCTAGCAAATTCCTTTGATTCATTCATTCCTACACCAAATTTAATCAGCTTCATCAAATTCTCTTCTTTATTAACCAACCTTTTACAGATAGTGTTCAGGCCCGGATTTTAAAATACTGTGAACGTTCTGCATATGAGAATTCTTAGTAATATTAACAAATCCTTCTGATAATACGTTCAGGACGTTTGTAGCTGAGAATTTGTAACAGGAGTTGTAAAGAGAGAAGACAAAAAAGAATATTATTTTCATACCTATGCATTGACCAAAGCTTGATTTAGGTAACATCCCATTAACAGCCAATTCATCAAACCGCAATTCAACTTGTGACCACCCTTCACTTCCGATATTTTTGTTACTACTCATAAACTGGAGCCCTTTCAGGGCACGAGCAGCTCCAGATTTTGACCTGTCAACCTTGTTGAACGTCTTGGAAGAAGTCATTCTCTTCAGCTCTCGCGAAACTTGCCTCAGTTTAAATGAGAGTTGCGATCCCAGCGAAGAAGAAGATGCCTTCCTCTCTAATCTACTCGCCAAATACGCCGTATCCGAGCCTCCTCCCCGTATGTTCTGCACCGAAACTGAGTCGTCGTGGATGTCCAGGGTGATCTCCACATATCGTTCGTCGTCTTTGAACCTAGCGCTGTTCCTCTTGCTGCTGTTCTTCTTGCTATTGGATGTAATCGGACCGCTCAGAGGTCCACTGTATCCGACTCTATTGCTTCCAGGATTGCTGTCTGTCTCCGACCACGATTCGTGCCAGCTCTGATGACTCTCCTGGATTTCCATTTTCAACTTTCTCTGAATATCTTCTCAGGATTTCTTCAGCTTATTGGCTCGTCCTGGAATAATGAAAAACTCAAAAACTTGACAAAGTAGAGTGGAATTTTTTATATCTGGGACATTACCAGGATGCTTGGAAGAGTTACAAATCCTGAAAAATGGCAAGAAAAATTGGTTGAAACTCACCAGGAGGTATGGTTATAAAGATGATTACAATTGAAAAAACTTATGTAAGAAAAGGAAAAAAATCGGCAGAAAGGTGGGAAAGTTTTGCAAGAAAGGTTGAGCTGAGGTATTGGAAGAATTCTGAGACTTTATATATATATATATACATATACAGAGAGAGAGAGACAGCAAGAGAGAGAGAGAGAGAGAGAGAGAATTTGGTAATTTAGCAGCTGAATTGGAAGGAAGAGAAAGTCAAAAAGGGTGAAATTCCAGGGGGCGCTTTTGGGTTGTTTTCAAATTCTTAAAGAGTTTAGTTATGTGAGTTGGTTGTTAAAGGATTAGATATAGGCAGGCTAATAGCTAAATTGCCCCTACATTTTACAAGAACTTTTTCAAAATCTTCTAATTGTCAAAGCATTACCAACCCAGTTTTGAGTTTTGTCAAACTAGAAATGGATGAGAATGATGAATTGAAAGTAATTTACATGAAGGAAAACCTGTTTAGGTCAACCCATGTGAATATCATAGTAGACAAATTAAATTTCTACACTAATTTTTGGTTCTTAGGCTATCATGAGTATTTGAAAAATACGCATGACGGTGTATTATGTCTTATGTATATTCGTATTTCTTTTTCTTTTTCATCTATCTAATAAATATAATGATTCGTGGTTTTTGAAAATAAACATATATGTAACACGATTTTATGCACTAGTTTTACACATGAATACTCTTGGTTAAGGTACTTCCTTGTTTTTAAGTATTTTATAAATTTTTCCCTATTTTCTGCATTGATTTTTGTTCTCGACTGCAATAGAATATGAAAAGCATGATTATATATTATGTCATCTATATATTTCTTTAATAAAAAAAATATAAAATGTACATAATTTTCTTATATATTGCTTGAGATTTGTTTTTCTTTCACAAATAAAAAAGAAATGATAAGAATGAGTTTAAGTATCCCGCCACCTTTTTACACTGGGTGATGGTACGTTTGGGCATAACTCACTTTAAAAAACTAGCTCAAAAGAAGAGAGAGTCCAACAACTTATATACAATAAAAATTTATCAAATTGACGATGTAAGACAAATACAACTTCTAACAATTATAAATTAATTTGAATTAAGAGAAAATTAAATTTTGTACCTTTAGTATTATGGAAATTACAATTAAGGACTTTAAAATGGTTCAAATTATACGTATCGTCTAATTATTTGGTCAAAAAAGATAGACAATAACTTTTAGTTATTGCGTTTGTGGGGAATTCCACTATGTTTTAATTCTCATATCTTACAAATAAAATTGGACTAGTGGTGTAGTGAGGTTAATCTGATCCATGTCTCATGATGAAGCCGACAATTAATTAATTATGAACCGCACAATTTGGAATACAAAATTATTGAAGTCCATATTAATTGAACAGCTTAATTGAGCTAGTTAAGCTTTAATTAAGTCGAAGTCTACACATTAATTTTTTCTTTCCTCGGAGGAGATTAACTCAACAATCCACTGTCACGACCACTCTATAATTAACTTTTTTCCTTCCTTAGGGGAGACTAAAGCAGCAACCATAGCTTAATTGAGCTAGTTAAGCTTTAATTAAGTGAAGTTTATACATTAATCTCTGTGTTTAACATTTCTATGATTAATTTTTCTTTCCTTCCTCGAGGGAGATTAACGCAGCAACCCACTGCTATAACCCCCCTACGATTAATTTTTTTCCTTCCTCAGGGGAGACTAACGCTTTAATTAAGTCAAGTCTACACATTAATCACGTCCTTAACGTTTTTATGATTAATTTTTTTCTTTCCTAGGAAGAGATTAACACAACAATCCACTGTCACGACCCCTCTATGATTAATTTTTTTCTTCCTCAGGGGAGACTAAGGCAGCAACCATAGCTTAATTGAGCTAGTTAAGCTTTAATTAAGTGAAGTTTATACATGAATCACGTGCTTAACATTTCTATGATTAATTTTTCTTTTCTTCCTCGGGGGAGACTAACGCAACAACCTACTATCACGATCTCCCTAAGATTGATTTTTTTCCTTCCTCGAGGGAGACTAACGCTTTAATTAAGTCAAGTCTATACATTAATCACGTCTTTAACATTTCTATGATTAATTTTTTTCCTTCCTCGGGGAAGATTAATGCAGCAACCCACTGCCATGACCTCCCTATGATTAATTTTTTTCCTTACTCGGGGGAGAGTAATGCTTTAATTAAGTCAAGTCTACACATTAATCACGTGCTTAACATTTCTATGATTAATTTTTTTCCTTCCTCGTGGGAGACTAACACAGCAACTCATCGCCACGACCTCTTTATGATTAATTTTTTCCTTCCTCGGGGGAGACTAATGCAGCAACCCACAACAAGTATACTCAAATGGAGAATCGAATCTAATACTGTGTGTCTATCTATACTATCTCTAATTCACCATAACCATCTGGATTACCCACAAATGCATATTATTGGTTTAAACACACTTAGAAATTTTATAGTTTAAACTTTGCCAAATTTCCAGGATGTTGTCAATATATTTTTTTAATTAATTAGTAGTACTGTTATATGCATATTAATGTAGTTAATAAATAAATAATTAAGATTCTTAATTAATTACAATTCTTTGATTATAAGTTGGAAAAAGCACCTTTAACAAAAGTATTAATCCAGCATATAATCTCACGATTCTAAGTGTTCTAGGAGTGGGGAAATGTCTATGAGGTCTTATAATAATGTTTTGATAATAATCAATAAATTATTAAAGCTATTATAATATATATTACCGAGATATTATTATACATGAAAATTTTTAGATCAACGTTTGAAGTTAAAAAAAAAAAAAAATTGGATTAAATTAGTTACTGTTGACTCTCATCCGTCAAGCAAGAATGAAATCAATTTTATTGATCTGATAACGTCAAATAAAATATTATTTTAACGATAATATCGGTTATCAACTTATTAAAACAATATGTGAATTAAATTCAGAATGTCGTGAGATAGTTCAATCCATATTAAACAGAGGCCTAAGAGTATTTGATTCTTATTCCTATTCATAGCATGATTGTCAAATAGTATATCGAGAACCTAATTTTTCGAATCATGTATCACGTATTGTATTGCATGATACGTATTTTTCAAAAAAAATTAATAAAATAATAAAAAATTTCTAAAAATTAATATCATTCCCATGATTAATTAACAAATTTTATAGTATTATTGGCTTTAAATTATGATATTACATAATCAAAATTAATCACAAAATTAAGAATCTATATCATTTCCTCTCAGCCATTCATATCATTTTCAAAATCAATGTCAATATCTATAACTTCACTTGTGTTATTATTATCATGCAAAATGGGCAATACATCTTCATTTTTACTTTCTCCATACAAAATGAATAAATTTAGACAGGTTTTAGTGAATTGGGTTGGGTGACCCAGATTTGACCTGAAAATGTTTTTGAACCTTTGGCCCAAATTAATAAAGTCGTATCGATATTTTTAAGGATATAAACAGATACATATCGTATCGTAGGATACATAAACGTATCAAAAGGTTTAAGATACACTCTCTTATATGTATAGTTAGTGACTCGTATCGAATCGTATCATAGGATATGTATCGCGTATCGTAGGATACTAACAACCATGATTCGTAGTATGGGAAGAAAATAAAAAAATGAAACAATTTTGTCTTTTCACATTATTAAATAATTATATTGGTAATTAATGTTGTTGACGCTTGATTTTGGACGCCAACGACTCGCACGTGGGAAACGCTGAGCTGACTCAGGAGACACGTGATGGATCCATGAGATTTGAATATAGAGCTGAGATTATATATTTTGCAGAAAAAATCAATAAAAGAATGGCAAGAAGGGGTTTTTATAGTGGTTCGGATGCTCAACAAGCGACTCCTACATCCACTGTTATTTTATTTGATCTCTCCCTACTTCTATGAATTTGCCCATAAGGCATACAAAGATGAAGAAATACAGTGTTTTTACAAAGAGAAAGAATTGAAACTAAATCTCAGTCCAGCCTCCAGCCTCCTTTCTTCGGGAAGAGAAAATCCATTTATTCACATTTGCACTCAATACAATGAGTGTTTTGCAAGCTGCCTTGACACATGGAAGGCTCTCGTCCATTCATCTCTTTGAAATGAGATAAAGTTGGTGAGAATATCTTTGGAGATATGGGCTTGGCAGCTGGTACAGAGAGACATTAATTGTGCTGACATAGGCTTGACTTTTGAGGCATAACAAATGTAGTTAAAATTTTGACCTTCAAAGCTAACTGTAAATTAACCCAACATCTAGGACTATTATATCAATAATTAATAATTAATGTATCATTAATTATTATTAAAGGTTATTATAGGCTTTTTTTTTTTTTTTTTTTTTTTTTTTTTTTTTTTTTTTTTTCCTTTTTTTTTTTTGGTGTAGTTTTTACCCCGAGTAATACTATACATACATTATTTTCATACAACATTTCTCATACAATATTATGTGGTAAGATATGATTGACTAATTTAAAGTTAAAATTAAACTTTCACCCAATTATATCTTGCCATATAATGTTGTATAAAAATAATGTATGTGTAGTATTATTCTTTTACCCCTATTTGATAACAGATTCCATTGACGGAGATTGACGATGGGAAGAAAAATCTCAAACATTTTGGGTGGGAAAAGTTAATCACGCCAAACCCTGGGTGGGAAATTTTGATTCCCTCTTTCTAAAATTTAAGAAGTGTGAGAGATAAAATGAATTTACTTTTCATTTTCACCCTAGAATGTTATTTTTCGAGTGTAAAATATGTGCATGATGTGACAAAATACTGACCCCATTTGCTGACAAAATAATTGATGCCCATATGTAATACAAACAAATAAAGGCGTCAAATAAATAAATACAGGGAGATGCCAACATAAGAATAAAACATATAACAAGGAATTTTATTGATTGTCCCCCAAGTCGGATGTAACTTTACCCCCCTTAATTTTAAAAAACTAACATTCATACCCCCACATAAAGGTTCTATCCGTTAAATATAATAGTAAAAGAGAGTAGAAGAGGTAAAAATAGGTGGTTTTGGTCAAGCAACTGACAGTTTTTACATTCAAGAATTATAAAAATATTTGAAGCAGTCGATCGTTTGATTAAAACTGTCAATAGTTTATCTAACGCCTAGTCATTGAACCAAAATCTTCCAGCTATTTGACAAAAAATGCTAATAGTTTATTTAACTGATAGTAACACCATTCAGGGGTGATAGTGTTAGTTTCTTAAAGTTGGGAGGAGAAAAGTTTTTTACGTCGATTGTTCGGATTCGTTTACGCGCACTTGACGGTGACCCTAATAAACCCAATAAATAAATGCAAGGATATGTCAACATAACAATTAAAATATAGCACAAAGAATTTTGATTATGCAAGCTTTTGAAAAATTCGCACTTAAAAAATGATTAAAAATATTGTCATGTTTTCGTATTTTTTATATATAAGATTCAAAGCAAACATGCAATGACAGCAGCAGACACCTAGCCTCTAGCCAGCCTCTTGATTTCTCCCAAAACCAGTCAAAGTTGTGGGCACAAATTGATAGTAGTTAATAATCAGAGAAAGCTTCTGAGAAACCTAGAATTAGAAGACGAAGAAGAAGTACAAAACATGGTGTTTTTTTTTTTTTTTTTTTTTGGTGATCGGGAGTATCTGGATCAGTTTGTACGTATCTCAACTAATCCTCTAAGACCCTAAAGTTAACATTTTTTTTTTGGATCAGCTTGTACACACCTCAATTAATCACTCAGGACCCTGAAGTTAACAACGGGGTAACATGATGTTTTTTTTTTCCTTCTTCTTTTTAGTGATCGGGAGTGTCTGGATCAGCTTGTACGCACCTCAACTAATCCTCCAAGACCCTGAAGTTAACATTTTTTTTTCTCTCTGGATTAATTTGTACACACCTTAATTAATCCCACAGGACCTTGAAGTTAACAACCGGGTAAATCCCCTTAGTGGCTACCCTTATTAGCAACGCAGCTGGATCGAATTTTGAACTTCTTGAATAATACATCCAAGAATCCTAATAGATCACTGAAACACCCAGTGGTGATTAAAACATAGTGTTTCAGAATGTGTCAAAACAAGAGAAAACATTTGCTGCAAATTCTGTGTACGTTTTATACATTGTTTTTGCTGGCTTTGATTAATTAAAATACGTATACCTTTTACCAGAAGCTGGCTTTTTCTACAGGATAGGATTAGATTAAATAAATCACACGTCAAAACTATATTTGGATGATGATAATGATGGTTCTTGATAACAACTTAAAGGGATTAATTGGTTTTTAATTTAGTTACGTTTGTTTGACGTGATTTATACGTCAAGCTTTTGTGAATCTTCAATCTCTAGGTATAAAATTCTGCTCCACTAGATTTGTTACAACTTTACCCCTTTTAGCACTTAACGTTGTGAAATAAATTGGGAAATTTTTAGATTATAAACTGAAAATATTTGTTATGTTACTGGATATAAAGATTTATTTTTATGAATTATTCATTATTCAGATCACCGATTATATTATAACCTTCTATACGTGGTTACTGGACACCTGTGGAGAAGTATAAGTTGGACGGGAAGCCAGTAGTAGATTCAAAAATTTGTTAAGGTGGGTTAAGATAAAAACTAATTGCATATAATATTTATATTATTTTTTAGTCGAAATGGTTATAAAGTAAAAAAATTACAAATTAAATTTTTTTTTTAATTTGAGGACCACCCTCAACATACTCTATCCGCCCTGGGGGAAGTGGTGTTTCTAGTGGCGGGTGAAATTTAAAGCTATTTTGTGACCCGAACGTTTTTGGGGCATAAAAAATATAATTTTTTTCTTAATCTTATAAAAACGTGTAGATCATAATAACTATTGAACTAGGATCCCAGGTACATTTGACATTAATATTGGAGATTTTATGTGCACGGAGTTTAAATTTGGACCTTATGTATTAAAGGAGTTTAGGAATTTCTAGATCATAGAACAAAATATACCTTAAATTGAAAAACGAATTAAAGACACAATGAATAATGAATTAAAATGATAAAAACAACAAACTCTTACCTTAGAATTGAGTATAATTTTGGATCTAGAAAAAACATACCTTAAATTGAAAAACGAATTAAAGATGCAATGAATAATTAATTAAAATGATAAAAACAAATTTTTTTTTTTTTTTTTTTGATAACAAAGGTCTCGACCCACCACCACAGCCTCCCGCTTAAATCGCAAATGCTCAAATAGGAATCGAACTTGAGATCGTGTATCCATCCACACTATCCACAATTCGCCTTAACGATCTGGGCTACTCACGGAATGTCTATAAGTGATACATAGATGTGGCTATTGTAGGAAATTTCAAATCGATTATGTTATTTGTGGTTAAGGGGGTGTTTGTCTGAGCTTATAAAAATTAACTTTTAAGCATTTGAAATTTTAAGCAATTATGTGTTTAGTTAAAGTACTTATAAGTGACTGATAAGTAGTTGATGTATTTGGTAAAATATGGTTTATAAGTAAATTTTATTATAAAATGACTAAAAATGGTACTACATTAAACAAGAGTATACTGTGAAATTTTAAAATTAAACAAGGATAATGTGGTAATATACTTGGTCAAATTAGCTTATAAGCAACAAAAAAAAAAAAAAAAAGGACTACCTTCTCCTCAACTTATTTTTTTTTTCTTATAAGTTCAACTTATAAGCTCAAAAAAGTTATAAACAAACATGTCAGTTTAATTTTAGAGCTTATAAGCTAACTAGCTTATAAGCTTAGACAAACACCCCCAAAATCTGGATGAAAGAGATGAAAGGAAAATTAGGATTTCTAAAATTTGGGAACTCATTCCATATTGTAAGTTGTTTTTATTTTGAGAGATTTAAGTAGAGTTTAAACATAAAGTATAAAATGATACCCATTCGTGGATAGTCCAAACGGTTAGATATAGTGATGATAGTGTAGATAGACGTACAGTCTCAGGTTCGATTTCCTATCATTTATCAAGTCAAAGTATCACGGACCTAATACCATGATACCATATCCTAATATANATCTGGATGAAAGAGATGAAAGGAAAATTAGGATTTCTAAAATTTGGGAACTCATTCCATATTGTAAGTTGTTTTTATTTTGAGAGATTTAAGTGGAGTTTAAACATAAAGTATAAAATGATATCCATTCATGGGTAGTCCAAAAGATTAGACATAATGATAATAGTGTGGATAGACGTACGGTCTCAGATTCGATTTCCTATCATTTATCAAGTCAAAGTATTACGGACCTAATACCATGATACCATATCCTAATACATAACGAAGCAAGAGGAAAACCAAAAGGGAGAAGTGGTCCTGGTAGCTATAGTGGTGTAAGGTGAGTTAGAAACATATATAGGAAATGAGTCCAAGTGACGGCCAAGCTAAGACAGCTGCATATGGCCATTTATGTAAAATTTCATTGCACAGAGGGTGTAGAGGAGTGTTTGATTTCTCTTTGTTGTTAGGTGGTAAAGTGACGTCAAAATCAACTACAATCCCACCAAACGGTAGATACTATTGTTTTTGAACCTAAATACAACAACAACAACAAGAGCCAACAAAATGGAGCCAAATAAAGTTGAAGAAAGAGACTACACACTCTCTCATTTACCTCCCCCATAATTCAACATTTAAGGTGGTCCTTTCCTTGTATTCAATTATATATGATCATTTCTTAATTCGAATCTCATTTAAGTTTGTGTCGATTTCAAGACACATAAATATGTGTAGTTGAATTTTTTTTATTTTATGAACTATCGTTGACTATATTGTGTTTTGTTTACGTATAAATCAGATCAGGAGAAGATCCTATCTTGATTCTTGTCACATCACGAATCATATAAGACGCATATAATAATGAACATGTATAATTTTTTTTCAGTTAACCCACCAATAACTCGATCAAATGAAAAAGTGATACGAGCTTTACTGAGCTTTGAGCATAGTTGAGATTTATTTCCTATTTCTATAATCTTACATTTTATTCATATAAAGATCATTAGAAGAGGATCTCGATACTACCACCACTACAAAACATAGTGACAAGTGATGGACCATTTTTTGTAATGGAGTTGGAGAAGGAAGCCCTAGAGTTAGGAGAGACCCCAACAGAATTGGGACCCATTTTGGAAACTTTATGTTGTTTTGATTTTATGACACTTAGCTACTAAAAAGCTATGTTCAACTGCAAAGTCCATGACTAACATTGGAAGATCTTCATCTCCAACTCTAAACTTTACACTAAAAGTTCTGAAATGATATCTCCTTGACTAATGATGATGATACAAAAGAAACTAAAAAAGAAAATTATAAGTACAAAGAGACAAAAAAGATGGCACCAAATTGGCAGTTTAGGAAGGTCTTGAAAAAAGTTTGGTTGAACTTAACAGTGTTTTGCAGAGAATTAATGGAGGTGAGATGAGATAAAAGTACATGAATAGAGAAGTAAAGAAGGCCCATTACAACTGCCACGCTCAGGGGTTCCTTGGAGTAGCATTAAAGACTGCAATTACCTGCACCACCAGAAATGAATGTTTCTACAGGAAGAAGAATGTGACAATGAAGAGCTAGATTTATAAGCACAAAAGAGGTTTGATGATTTTTCTGGTTGAAGAAAGATCATGGCTTCAGGTTTTGAGATTTTCTTCCACAGGATCTTCATCATTGTCTTCATCATTTTGAGTGTTGTATCATTGCAGAGCTCCCACAAGTTGAGGGTTCATGGCCTACAAGAAGTTGACAAAGTTTCTGGTGAAGATGAGAATGAGCAAAAGGAGGGTTTGATTGTGCAAAAGTTTAGAGCTTTACTTGGACTGAAAAGGTTCAAAACTCAAATTAGGCCATCTGGAGATGGTAATTCTGAAGATGTTTCTGTTTCTCCATCACCTTCTCCTTTGCCTGCCATTGAAGCTGAGACCCCTACTCCTGCTCCTCCATTTCATGTTCATCCTCATCATCTATCTCCAACATTAAATCCCATTCCGCTTCGCCACAAGATTCAGGAAGAAACTTCACATAAAGAGAAAGTTAGAAGAGTTTTAGTACCAGTTCTTGTTTCTGGAGGAGCTGTGTTCTTAATATCTTCTCTGGGGCTCTTTTGGTTCTGTTGCAAATTCAGAAAAAATCACAAGAAGTCTGCAAGAAAAATGTCGGTGTTCGCTAAAGAAGGAAGAATCAAAGGTAAATCTAAGTATGTGAGTTCTCAGAATTCAACAAATAAGGTAACCTTAAATCCTGGACTTGATCTCTTTTATCTTAACTCATTAGACATTGATTTAGAGCAACAATCTTCTTGTGTAAAAAAAGTTGAAGATGAAAATATTATCTCAACTTCAAGTTGTCCATTGCAAGAGAGGGAGGAAGCAAACCAAGAAAGAAATAAATCAGAATCAGATAATGCTAGTAGTTCTTCCACTAGGGAGATCAAATCTGTTCATGAAGATGTGGATTCAATCAAGTATGATTCTGATGGTGGGAACTCTTCTTCTGGTGATAAAGTTATTCCTATCGAATCCGGTTCGTCTGATGATGAATCTTTTCATTCTTTTGTTGATTCACATTCATCGAATATCCGCCTTTCGAATGCTTCAGCTGGTAGTCTCAGTGATACAGCAGAGATTTCTTCCCCAAATGTGGCAAATATATCACAATCTGATCAGCCTCTTCCAACAAATTGCATCAGAAATTCAGCTTTAAATTTACCTAAGGAAACTCACCAAACTCTCAGCAATCACAAAGAGGAAAATCTGGCAGCTAGAAGCTCTCTAGATTCACATGAGAACTTCAAGCCCTCGCCTGCGCCCCCTCCGCCTCCACTTCCACCACCTTTGCCTCCAATTCTGGGCTTATCTCAATTACATTCATTTTCTTGGTCGACTAAACTGGGATCAAAAGCTTCTAGCTCTTCTACATTGCCAAATTTGTCATCTCCAAAGCCTTTAGGATCCTCTTCAACATCAAACCAAACTCCACAGGGTGACTTGCTTTCACCTCGAAAGTCTTCACCAGGTATTCCTCCACCTCCATGCCCACCTCCACTTCTGAAACCAAATAATAGCTCTTTGCAAGGGCCACCTCCGCCCCCATCTCTACTTCCTCAATTTATGCCGACGGGAAAAGATGGAACCCCTCTTCCGAAATTGAAGCCACTTCACTGGGACAAAGTTAGAGCTACACCTGACCAGTCCATGGTCTGGGACAAGCTGAGATCAAGCTCATTTGAGTAAGTTACTTCATGTTCTTGTACGCATTAACTTCATCTTCTCTTTCTTTTCCCAATTTAATGATTTTACTTGACATGGAACAGACTGGATGAAGAGATGATTGAGTCACTTTTTGGATACAATATACAAAGTTCAATGAAGAGTGATGAAACAAAAAGCAAAACCCCTTCTCCCAGCAAGCATGTTCTTGAACCCAAGAGGCTACAGAACATTACCATTCTCTCAAAAGCCTTGAATGTGACCGCGGAGCAAGTCTGTTCGGCACTGATGAAAGGTACAATTCTTACTAAAATTTGTATCTAACAGCACATTTCTTCTCATATTAGTCACCTTCTGGTTATAACTTTGTCCAAATCACATGGAAAAACGCAGGGGATGGCTTGTCTTTACAACAACTTGAGGCACTGGTGAGAATGTTGCCAACAAAGGAAGAAGAGGACAAGCTATCAAGCTATAAAGGAGACATCAATGAACTGGGATCAGCTGAGAAATTTGTCAAAGTAATACTCAGCATCCCCTTCGCCTTTCAACGCGCTGAAGTCATGCTTTACCGCGAAACTTTTGAAGACGAAGTTGTTGATCTTCGGAACTCCTTTTCAATGCTAGAGGTCATACTGCACATCACACAAGCTTAAATTTACACCAATCTTTAAAATCATCTCTTAATCTCCTTTTGTTTCAATTTTCTTATCCATCAGGAGGCCTGCAAGGAACTCAGATCAAGCAGGCTGTTCTTGAAGCTACTTGAAGCTGTGCTCAAAACAGGCAACCGAATGAATGTTGGAACAATCAGAGGAGGAGCTAAAGCATTCAAGCTCGACGCACTTCTCAAGCTTGCTGATGTGAAAGGAACTGATGGCAAAACTACATTGCTTCATTTTGTTGTGCAAGAAATTATCCGATCAGAAGGAATCAGAGTTTCGGATAGCATAATGGGGAAGATCAATCAGAGAAACAAAACGAAGACCGTAGAAGAGAGGGAAGAAGATTACAGAAGAATGGGGCTAGACCTTGTTTCAGGTTTAAGCACTGAACTTTACAATGTCAAGAAGACTGCCACCATTGATCTCGATGTTCTCGCAAGCTCAGTCTCAAACTTATCAGAAGGAATGAATAAACTGCAACATTTGGTACAGAACAACCTGTCTTTGGATGACAAAAGTGGCAACTTTGTGCACTCAATGAATGCATTCTTGATGTATGCAAAGAGGAACATAAAGGCATTGCAAGAAGATGAGAGTAGAGTGATGTTACATGTGAAAGAAATCACAGAGTACTTTCATGGGAATGTGGGCAAAGATGAAGCTAATCCTCTCAGGATATTCGTGATTGTGAGAGATTTTCTGGGTATGTTAGATCATGTTTGTAAAGAGCTCAGAAACTTGAAAGTTCCCAGCAGTCCAAACCCTTTGGCTCCATTCAAGTAGATTAGTTTGCCTGGTGTGCTTGTGGAATTCTTCATAATTTGATCATAGAATGTAAAAGTTTTTGAGTGTTTAGTTTGAATTGGGTTGATCCCAATTAGGGTTTTGTGATTCAACATTGTAATTTTGCATAAAAAGAAATTGTATTAACCCTTTGTAAGTTGTAACTCTTCAGACCAACACATTTTCAATGTTTACTCATTTTAATGGATCAGATCAAAACGGCGACGTTTTTAGGCATACATCGCTCCCACATGCCACGGCTAAAAGCTTGGTCGCTCTCTCTCTCCCCTTAAATTTCATGAACATTCGCGACCCCGCGGGAAACCCAACAGTAATACACGTGGCGACCATTCATTGGAGATTTAACGTGTAACCTCTTAAAGGTGCGACCAGCAAACAAACAGTAATAATGACGTGGTCTCATTTCATTGGCCAGAACACTCTAGCAAGAACACAATAAAAAACACTATAAATAAACTCGACTCGGCAAAACATTTTCGCTCCACTCCAATCAGAAGACAGAACAAATAAAACACTTCCACAAAACAAAAAATCAAATCAAATCAAACCCAACAATGAAGATTCACACCAAAGCTTTAGCGATTCTGCTTCTGTTTACTTTAGGTGAGAAGGGTTTTCTTTTTTTAGTTTCTTTTTTGAGCAAAATTCTTACTCTTTTTTTTTTTTTTTGTTTTGTTTTGTTAATGACACTATGCTCTGTTTTTGTTGTTTTGTTTTTCAGAGTTCTCGTTGAGTTTAGCAGCCGATGATGCTGCGAAATTTGGAACTGTGATTGGAATTGATCTGGGGACGACGTACTCTTGTGTGGGCGTGTATAGAAATGGGCACGTNCACAAAACAAAAAATCAAATCAAATCAAACCCAACAATGAAGATTCACACCAAAGCTTTAGCGATTCTGCTTCTGTTTACTTTAGGTGAGAAGGGTTTTCTTTTTTTAGTTTCTTTTTTGAGCAAAATTCTTACTCTTTTTTTTTTTTTTTGTTTTGTTTTGTTAATGACACTATGCTCTGTTTTTGTTGTTTTGTTTTTCAGAGTTCTCGTTGAGTTTAGCAGCCGATGATGGTGCGAAACTTGGAACTGTGATTGGAATTGATCTGGGGACGACGTACTCTTGTGTGGGCGTGTATAGAAATGGGCACGTAGAGATTATAGCGAACGATCAAGGGAACAGAATCACCCCCTCATGGGTGGCGTTTACTGATACTGAGCGTCTGATTGGAGAAGCCGCTAAAAATCAAGCGGCTCTCAATGCAGAGCGCACTATCTTTGATGTTAAGCGCCTTATCGGGAGAAAGTAAGTGACTTTCTGTGTTACACTGTTTCTAATTCTTTGAAGCAGTGTGGAAGAGTTGAGTGAGTTTTCTCGTTTTGGTTTTGTAGGTTCGATGACCCTGAGGTGCAGAGAGATATAAAGTTCTTGCCTTATAAGGTTGTGAATAAAGATGGAAAGCCTTATATTCAAGTGAAGGTTAAAGGTGAGACTAAAGTGTTCAGCCCTGAGGAGATCAGTGCCATGATTTTACAGAAGATGAAGGAAACGGCTGAGGCTTTCTTGGGGAAGAAAATTAAAGATGCCGTTGTCACCGTTCCAGGTACATATTTTTATTTGTTGATGTAGTAATTGATGAAAATGCGTTTTGTTGAGAATGATTTGGATCTGATGTGTTTATATTATTGTTTGTTGTAGCTTATTTCAATGATGCGCAAAGGCAGGCAACTAAGGATGCAGGCATCATCGCCGGGCTCAATGTGGCTAGGATAATCAATGAGCCTACAGCCGCGGCCATCGCCTACGGTCTAGACAAGAAAGGGGGAGAGAAGAACATTTTGGTTTATGATCTTGGTGGCGGAACCTTTGATGTTAGTATTTTGACTATTGACAATGGTGTGTTTGAGGTTCTTTCTACTAGTGGAGATACCCATTTGGGAGGAGAGGATTTTGATCACAGAGTGATGGACTATTTCATCAAGCTGATCAAGAAGAAGTATAACAAAGATATTAGTAAAGACAACAAGGCTCTTGGAAAGCTCAGAAGGGAATGTGAGAGAGCTAAAAGAGCATTGAGTAGCCAGCACCAAGTTAGAGTTGAGATTGAGTCGCTTTTTGATGGGGTTGATTTCTCTGAGCCATTGACAAGAGCAAGATTTGAAGAGTTGAATATGGATCTGTTTAAGAAGACTATGACACCAGTGAAGAAAGCTCTGGAAGATGCCGGCTTGAAGAAGACTGATGTTAATGAGATTGTGCTTGTTGGAGGGAGTACTAGAATTCCAAAAATCCAGCAATTGTTGAAGGATTTCTTTGATGGAAAGGAGCCTAACAAGGGTGTGAATCCTGATGAAGCTGTTGCATATGGTGCCGCAGTTCAGGGTGGAATTCTTAGTGGCGAAGGCGGTGAACAAACCAAAGGTAAATTACAGAAACTATGTTCATTTTAAGGAATTTTGATTTGGATTCAAGTGTTTTGGTACCGAATGTGATTCTGATTTTGGTTTGTTGCAGATATTCTTCTGCTTGATGTGGCTCCTCTTAGTCTTGGTATTGAAACAGTTGGTGGTGTTATGACCAAGTTGATTCCCAGAAATACTGTCATTCCTACTAAGAAATCTCAGACTTTTACAACTTACCAAGACCAGCAAACCACAGTATCCATCAAGGTATGAAGAACAATTACCTCCATATTCGAAAACTCGAAATGATATTGCAGACTCATTCTGGGTTTAGACTAACATAATCTTTTGACTATTTCAGGTATATGAAGGTGAAAGAAGCTTAACAAAGGATTGTCGCGAGCTTGGAAAGTTTGATTTATCTGGCATTCCACCTGCTCCAAGGTATGTTAAAACCAGAAGATTTTTCTTATCTCAAGGCTCTAAACTGTGTAATCCGATTTGGTGGGATGGTTGATTCTTATATATGTTGTGATTTTTGTTGCAGGGGAGTGCCACAAATTGAGGTAACATTTGAGGTTGATGCCAATGGTATCTTACATGTGAGAGCTGAGGACAAGGCAGCTAAGAAGTCACAATCCATCACCATCACCAACGACAAGGGGCGTCTCAGCCAGGAAGAGATCGACAGGATGGTTAGGGAGGCTGAGGAATTCGCCGAAGAGGATAAGAAGGTGAAGGAGAGGATTGATTCCAGGAACAAATTGGAGACCTACATTTACAACATGAAAAGTACTATCAATGACAAAGACAAGCTCGCGGATAAACTCGATTCTGATGATAAGGAGAAGATTGAGAACACCTTGAAGGAGGCTCTTGAATGGTTGGATGACAACCAGAACGCAGAGAAGGATGATTATGATGAAAAGTTGAAAGAGGTTGAAGCTGTATGCAATCCTGTCATCAAACAGGTTTATGAGAAGAGTGGTGCAAGTTCAGCTGGTTCACAAGATGATGAAGAACCCAATGATGAGTTGTAAAAATCTTCCAAGGATTTGAGATTTAACATGCTTTTTTCTAAATTTTTTGTTTTCAAATAATTTTTTTTTCTTCTTTCACCCAAGAATACAAATGTAATGTTTATCACTTGATGTTGAAGTATAATAGAATAGTTTAATTTCAACATATATTTTTGTGTTCTATATGAACACATAAAACTTAAAGTTCATAAGACCAATCCATGGTTAACTTAGAAGGTTAAAGGCAAAGTAGGGATAATGTGGATAAATGTTCGGTTTTATGTTTAATTCTCCATTTAAGTATATGAGATATTTTGAAGGTAGGTTGTTATCCTAGTCTCTCCAAAAGATTAGTCGAGATTTCAAGACATTGGTCAAAAAAGAAATGATTGAAATATAGAAAAATGGTAATAGTAAGATTAGTCAGATTTGATAATCCTGAGATTGAGATTGAGTCTCTCTTTGAAGGTGTTAATTTCTCCGAGGCTTTGACAAGAGCAAGATTTGAAAAGCTAAACATGGACTTATTTAGGAAGACTTTGGGGTCAGTGAAGAAGGCTTTGGAAGATGGTGGCTTAAAGAAAAAAGATATTCATGAGATCGTGCCTGTTGGAGGGAGTAGTAAAATCCCCAAGATTCAGCAATTGTTGAAAGATTTCTTTGATGGGATCATGGGAAGAAGCCTAAAAAAGGTGCAATTTGGTGTCGGTTTCTATGTCAAAAGTTTGTTTTACAGTTGTTCAACTCTTTAAAATGGCCAACACTAACAGGGTTTTCAATTTTATCCAAAGGAACATACTATACTTACTCACCATCTTATTAACCATTTTACTATCCTTTGTAAATATAACGCATAGTACTGGTACTATACGCATAGTACGGATACCATGTAAAATTTTAACAAAGGTAGTAAGGGGGTTAGTACAAGTCGTGAGTAAGCATAGTGTTTTTCTTATCCAAAATATCAAAAGAGCGGTGTTATATTCACAATTTTTTATATAATTTTAATATGGTAATTTATAATTAATCAGTTTATAAAAAGTCTTATCTGATTAAATATAAATTACCGATTTATAAACTATTACCTCATAGTTATATAAAAAAATTATAAAAATAGTTTGATTGATAAGAATATCTAATGGTGTGTTTGGTTTAGTATTTTGGATAGGATTTTGGGGATAGTATTGCGTTATTGGATAGAGGAGTATTACGAGGTAAATTTTAAAAATTTGTAAAAAAACCTTTAGGTTTACTAATTTAATTAAAGACCCTAACAGATAAAATGACAAAAACACCCCCACCCTCTACAGTGTTAGCGACGGCCAAAGATGTGGCCGTCGTTTTTGGTCAACGACGGCCATTTCTTTGATAGTCGCTGAAGGCCAGATCTGGCATTTTCTGACCAGATCCGTGGTAGATCTGGCCGGAAAAGGCCACATTGGTGAACTTCCGGCCATTTCTGGTCGGAATTAGGCCGTTGTACAGATTCTGACTATTATCGACGGTGGTTGCTGAGATCTGACAAGTTGGGTTGATGGGGGTGTTTTTGTTAATTTTTAAACTTTTTTTCAGAGGGTATTTAGTGAAATTAATAACTTTATGGAGTCTAAAAATAATTAAAAAATAGAATAATATTTCTAGAATAATGTGTCAAATATTATTTGGAGAATAGGATCTAGAATATGGATAAAAATATTAAGTCAAACATAGTCTAAGGGGCTATCAACTTATAAGTTATAACCTCTTCAAGGGTGCGATGAGCAAAGAGACTATTATAATGACGTGGTCTAATTTCATTGGACAGAACAATCTAGCAAGAACGCAAGAGGAAACACTATAAATAAACTCACTCGGCAAAATATTTTCGCTCCACTTCAATCAAAAAACAGAGAAAACACTTCCAAAAACAAACAAATCCCAAATCAAATCATATCAAAACCAACAATGAAGATTCACACCAAAGCTTTAGTGCTTCTGCTTCTCTTCACTTTAGGTAAGAGGGGTTTTCTTTTTTTCGTTTCTGTTTCAGCAAAATTCTTACCTTTTTTTTTTCTTTTTTTGTTTGGGTTAATGACAGTACGCTGTGTTTTTGTTGTTTTATTTTTCAGAGTTCTCGTTAAGTTTAGCGGCCGATGATGGTCCGAATTTCAGAACTGTGATTGGAATCGATCTGGGGACAACGTACTCTTGTGTGGGCGTGTATACAAATGGGCACGTGGAGATTATAGCGAACGATCAAGGGAACAGAATCACGCCCTCATGGGTGGCGTTTACTGACACTGAGCGTCTGATTGGAGAAGCCGCTAAAAATCAAGCGGCTCTCAATGCAGAGCGCACTATCTTTGATGTTAAACGCCTTATCGGGAGAAAGTAAGTGACTTTATGTGGTACACTGTTTTTAACATTCTTTGAAGTAATGTGGAAGAGGTGAGTGAGTTTTTTCGTTTTGGTTTTGTAGGTTTGATGATCCTGAGGTGCAGAGAGATATAAAGTTCTTGCCTTATAAGGTTGTGAATAAAGATGGAAAGCCTTATATTCAAGTGAAGGTTAAAGGCGAGACTAAAGTGTTTAGCCCTGAGGAGATCAGTGCCATGATTTTACAGAAGATGAAAGAAACGGCTGAGGCTTTCTTGGGGAAGAAAATTAAAGATGCCGTTATCACCGTTCCAGGTACAGTATTTTATTGATAAAATACCTTTTGTTGAGAATGATTAGAGTCTAATGGGTTTATATTATTGTTGCTTGTTGTAGCTTATTTCAATGATGCGCAAAGGTTTGCAACTAAGAATGCAGGCACCATCGCCGGGCTCAATGTGGTTGGGATAATCAATGAGTCTGCAGCCGCGGCCACCGCCTACGATCTACACAACACAAGGGAAGAGGAGAACATTTTGGTTTATGATCTTGGTGGCGAAACCTTTGATGTAAGTGTTTTGACTGTTGATAATGGTGTGTTTGAGGTTCGTGGTACCAGTGGAGATACCCATTTTGGAGGTGAGGATTTTGATCACAGAGTGATGGACTATTTCATCAAATTGATAAAGAAGAAGTATAACAAAGATATTAGTAAGGACAACAAGGCTCTTGGGAAGCTCAGAAGTGAATGTGAGAGAGCTAAGAGAGCATTGAGTGGCCAGCACAAAGTTAGAGTTGCGATTGAGTCACTTCTTGATGGTGTTGATATCTCTGAGTCATTTACAAGAGCAAGATTTGAAGAGTTAAATATGGATCTGTTTAAGAAGACTATGGCACAAGCGAAGAAAGCTCTGGAAGATGCAGGCTTGAAGAAGACTGATGTTAATGAGATTGTGCTTGTCGGAGACAGTACTAGAATTCCCAAAATTCAGCAATTGTTGAAGGATTTCTTTGATGGAAAGGAGCCTAACAAGGGTGTGAATCCTGATGAAGCTGTTGCATATGGTGCTGCAGTTCAAGGTGGAATTCTTGGTGGCCAAGGCGTTGAAATATTCAGAGGTAAATTACAGAAAACATGTTTAATTTTAAGGATTTCTGATTTGGATTCAAGTGTTTTGGTACCAAATGTGATTCTGATTTTGGTTTGTTGCAGATCTTCTTCCGGTATTTGTGGTTCCTCTTAGTCTCGGTATTGAAACAGTTGGTGGTGTTATGACCAAGTTGATTCCCATGTATACTGTCATTCCTACTAAGAAATCTCAGACTTTTACCACTTACCAAGACCATCAGACTTTTACCACTTACCAAGACCAGCAAACCACAGTATCCATCAAGGTATGAAGAACAATTACCTCCATATTTGAACACTCGAAATAATATTGCAGACTCATTCTGGGTTTAGACTTAAATAATCTTTGACAATNCACAACGAGAAGAATCGAATGTTTTTTGTCCGATCAACAAAACAAGTAGCAATACACCAAAAGTGAAAACATCGCACTTCTCATTGCAAACACCAACACTTATGTACTAAGGTGCAAAAAATCCCATTGTACCAACTACCCTACTATCTTTTATGTAAGTTTCGCCTTCCGGAATATACTCGGAGAGTGAAAAATCAGATAGTTTCACTATGGTTTGTTCCTGGAATAAGATGTTTGTAGGTTGATACTTCTAAAGACAATCGGCCTAGAGAAACCAACATGGAGATATGCAAGTGCATTAGCCATCTCCATAGCAATCTTTAACCTATGTGTCAATAGCAAAGGCACAAAATGGGGTTGTCGAGGACCATTTATACGATCAGAAAGAGTTCCATACTCGACATATTCAAAAACGAGGGAGGGAATTTCGGTTTCTAAGCAACAACCGATCAACTTAAAAAGATTCTTGTGCTTCATTTGTGATGCAAATACAATGTTGTTAAAGCAATATCAGTATGCATCTAACCTACTAGGATCGTCTCTAAACTTCATGATAGAAACTGAATAGTCCTCGAGAATACCCTTGTACAGCTCATATGATGCAGCTCTTGTTATGACTTTTCCTGCATCAAAGTTATCTATTGCCGTCTTGAGCTCTTCCAGAGAGATGTTACGAATCCGATTATATTTGCCATTACAAGATGAAATCAACTTTTCTAGTAAATATTTGCTATTCACCATCATAGATGATGTGTTATCTATCTTTTCCTGCTACTTGGATGTTCTCTTGAACGAATCCATGCAATGATTTTACCTTGTTTGACTATAAAACATGACGCATATTAAGGAAGAATTGACCATCATGATTCATACCAATAAAAAATTAATGATAATACCTTCAAGCTAGATCAGAACCCTTGAGAGACAGATCTGCAAATTGGCACCTTGAGAGCTTGCTGCCTTATCTCCTATGGAAGTCTTCTCTCAAAAATTGTCTATCCACTAGAAATTTCTATCACTAGGACAAGGAAGTTTCTTCCTTTTTTTCTGTTTCAACAATTGCAATGAATTCAACAAAACAAATGATGGCTCAAGGGAAGTGGTGGGAAACATTGGAAAGATGGAAAATTCTCAATACCAGGCGATAAAGTTGACTTTTCAAGGCGGGATGACAACAATTTCCCACCAGAGGTTTGGCGATATTCATTTTCCCACCAAGTTTGAGAAAAACAATTTCCTACACCTATCGTTAAGATCTAACTGACATGGTATAATCACCGTATAGACCAAAATATCTTTTACTATTTGAATACGAATCCAAATCCAAATTCCTACCCAAACCCTACTCTAACATGAATTTCTTCAAAACAAGTATATATATACTTGTGCTATGATGCAGTTCAAGTACAAATCAATTGATGACTCGAGGTTAATTTACATGACTTTCCAAAGGAACCATTAGTTGATAGATTTTGATCTTTCAAGGGTCAAAAAAATAATATGCCTACTATACAAAAGCATGGACAAAATTTACTTGCGCTTGAAAATTTATCAATTAGTTTATTTGAAGGTTTTCAACTACTGCCATAGACATGAAGACATTAGTTATTGATACATCTATACAAGAAGGAAAGCATAATCCTAAATACATGAACAGCTGACATACTAACTAGACTTGTACATTTGTTTGAGTTGCTTTGCCACATCTATCATATTTGGCCTATCTTCTGGTTCAGGAGAGAGACATTCCGACACTAGCCTTGCAAGAGCTAGCAATTGTTGTTCTTTTATCGAACATATTCCCTCCCCAATAATTACTGGATCTATTATGTCATTTAGATTATCAGGTCCAATATCTTTCATCTGAAAAACTTTATTCAGGAGAAAGTGATAAAATTTATGTCCACTCAAAAGCGTAAACAGGCATGCACCAAAGTCATAGACATCAACCTTCTCATTGCAAGTAGTCTTCTTATTCTGATCCTTTCCAAGTAAAAACTCAGGTGGATCATATTCACGCCTTATTCTTGTCAGCCAAGGGCTTTCCAAGTGAGTTTTACCCTCTGGAATAAACTCAGATACTGAAAAATCAAATAGTTTTACAAAATATTGCTCATCTAGTAAAATGCTCCATGGTGAGAGACTTAAAAGAACAATAGGTCTAGGGAATCCAAAGTGAAGATATGCAAGTGCATTAGCCATCTCCATTGCAATCTTTAACCTGAGTTTCAACAATAAAGGTCCAATATGGGGTTGAGAATGACCCAAAATACGATCAGCAAGGGTCGTACATCCAACGGAATCAAAAACTAGAATGGGAAATTGAGTTTCTAAACAACATCCAATCAACTTAAGAAAATTCTTATGTTTCATTTGTGCTGCAAATACAATGTTATTGATGCCTTGTTGGATTGCTTCTTCTTCTTTTTCTAAGAAGATAATGGGTTCAAACTTAATAACAGAAATCTGAAGGTCTTGAAGAAAGCCATTGTACAACTTATGAAAAGTCATATTTGTTAGAATTAATCAGTCATCATCATAATTAATTGTTGCTTCCCTAAGCTCTTTCTTGGAGAAACTACGAATAGGATTACATTTGCCATTACAAGTGGCAATCAACTGTTTTAGTAACATTGCACCATTCTTCAAATTATAATCATTCTTTCGGGAAAAACATGAACTCATCTTACTTGATCTACAAAAAAAAAAAAAAAACCCCATGAAATGCTTTCATTTATTTAACCATTACTTCGGAACATCAAGTATACAAGTATTAGAAAACATGAAAAAGAAAAAAATTGATCATGTATGTATATAAATATATTAGCAAACTATAGTATAATTGTACACAAATGAATGTTCTATGCATTTTATTCAGAAAAAGAATGTTTTGAACTAAGATCATTGTCTAATGTAAAGAAAATTAAGTGTAAAAATAGGTGAAACAGAGTAGCAATGAAAGTAATCATACATGCAGAATTAATTAACCAAAGACAAAGAGATTTACAAAGACGATGTACCTGTGAGGATGGCCAATTCGCCCTGTGCTAATTAATCGAAATTGTTAAGAAAAAAGAAAGGCCAATTAAAATCTGATGAAGCACAGTTAATGGACTTTTATGTACATGACAAGTCAGCCGCCCTTGACTCTTGAGTCCTAAAGAAGACTTACATGTTCTTCATGGAATAATTCGCATGTGGCTTAAGAGAGAACACGTAACTGTTGATGGCGAATTCATGTACTAAAATATACATTGACTAGAAATACATGGATACAATAACAATTAAGCAGAATTCTGCTTGACATTCATCTCCTTTTTTCATAAAATTCTTGTAACTTTATATCTCCTTTTTTCACTCCACGTTTGTGAAAGATATCTGTAATTGCTTAGAGAATGACTTGTGCTCTAAAATCTAGATTAAAATTTATTTTTTCTAAGTGGATTAAAGTTAATATTCTCTGTCAAGCAGCTCTATGTGCAAATTTGTTGAGAGCACCAACACTTGTGCCGAGTCGAAGAAGTGAAGATCAAACCAAACAAGCGTATAAGATGCTATCTGATTTCTTCAGGTTTGCATTAAATACAATCTTTACGTTCTTTTGTTTTGAAACTTTATATCAGAATTCATGTTGACTTGCAGATGTGGAATGAATAATTCATGTTGTCGAGCTAAAATACTTGTGGAGTACTTTGGGGAGGACTTTGGTCATGACAAATGTCTAATGTATGTAATATTTCTTTTTATTTTTAGCTCTTTCTTTTAATATCACAGTGAAATCCACTTCTGTATTGGGTTAACCAAGGCTTCTTTCCTTTAGTTAGAATCTTGAAATTCATGGAAAAGCCAAACCTCAGGATGTTTGTCAGTAAAATAAGGGAGCAGGTGTTACATGATCTATAGTTCATCTCATTCTTGACATGTATTCATTTTTAAGACATGAGAGATGAATTTTGACGAAGCCATTGGATATATTTTGAATGGTTCCAATAGAAACTGTAAGGGCGTATCTAATACTAGTAGTAGTTCGCATTGTTTCAAAAACAATGGGAATGGGAAGACTCAGGGCAAAAGAGGTTTAGGACAGTCTAGCATATTGGATCATTTTCAATCTAGGCAAAAAAGAAGCAAAAGTGATGTTGTTTCTGATGGACTGGTTTCTAGGGCTGGGTCGGTAGTGTTGCCTGGTGTTGTTGGAGAACATAAGGGGGCTTGTCTTGATGTGGGGTGTAATGGGAAGATGGAGGTTGAGTCGTTGCCAGTTTTGTCTAAACAAGAGGCGAAGATTGGGTCAGATTGGGAGGTGAAAGTGAATAGTCTGTTACAAAAGCAGTTTGGTTATTCATCATTGAAGAAGTTTCAGAAGGAAGCGCTGGCGGCTTGATTAGATCATCAAGACTGTCTAGTTCTTGCCGCAACAGGATCTGGTATTGTGCTTTTGCTTAGCTAATGATTGTTGTCTGTTAGGCTGTTTCTGTTGCTATATTATTGGGTGGTTAATGTTTTGTTATAGTTCGCTTTCTGCAGGGAAATCTCTGTGCTTCCAGATTCCAGCTTTGTTAACGGGAAAGGTTGTGGTTGTGATTTCACCCTTGATAAGCTTTATGCACGATCAGTGCTCAAATCTGTCAAAACATGGGGTATCTGCTTGCTTTCTTGGATCTGGGCAACCTGACAGCAGCGTGGAGCAGAAAGCAATGAGAGGAATGTATAATATAATATATGTTTGCCCAGAGACTGTGTTAAGGTGAGGGACATGTATTACCATTTGGCTAGCGTATCAAAGAGGTTGTTCCTAATTTCATATGACTGAAGGAGTATGATAAATTTTCTGCAGACTGATAAAACCACTTCAGAGGCTTGCTGAAAATCGTGGAATTGCATTATTTGCGATTGATGAAGTCCATTGTGTTTCTAAGTGGGGCCATGATTTTAGGCCTGACTACAGGTTCTATTCTCCATTCCAACCACATGGCTATTTCTACAGTCTTTGCTACAATCTACTTTACATTTACTTCAGTGGTCGGATTTTTGCAAGATTTGTCTATAGTTGCACACTTATATTAAATGTTCACAGAAGGGACATATGAGGCCAATCATATGTTATTTCTCCCTGGGTATCTGCACTCCACATGTTGTAACAGGATAAAAAAATTTGAAGTGTCATACCCTAGTATTGGTTGTGCTCTGTTATTCTTTATATTGTTTCTGCTTATGTCATTGATTATCCCTGCATGTCAAAGGAAACTAAGATTGTACTCACTTCCTTATTTTGTTCAAATTTAAGGTTCTTGGTGAGTTTTTCCTTATTCCAGTTTGGATTTCAGGGGTATCAATAACTCGTCTTGTGGAATTCTATATTTCTATGTTCCATGTTTTCTCCGAGTGTAGCTTGCTTTTTTTGGGTGGAAACTCAAACCACTATAACTCGCTGCTATTTGCAGGTAAAGCATAGTAGAACATCTTCACCAGCTTCTTATCAGAAGGATTTCTGCCAGCTGATAGACATATATGTCAGAAAGGGAAAGACTGGTGAAATGAAAACAACTATTATGTTACCAGAGTTAGATGATCAATCTGATAGCTCTTCTAGCTGTAGCACATCTGGGGCAGATAGAATTTCTCCAATCAACAACCTTGAGGATGGAGATATTGATGCAGATAATGACGAAATAACTTCTACAAGGGAAACAGAAATGTCAGTAGAATATCTCGAAAATGATGTTGACATCTTTCAAAGTGTGGATGATTGGGATGGTACCATTTTTTCCCTTGTCTGGGGAGTTTTTTTCTATGGTTAAACTGTATTCATTGGCTTTAGCTGTGAAACATAATCAAAAGCAATGTGTGAATGAATAGTTTCCACTTTGTAATAACTCAACGTCAATGCTCTTTATTCTGTTTTCTGGTCACTTCTATTTTTTGCAGTTGCCTGTGGTGAATTTTATGGGCATTCTCCTCGTGAAGATTGGGATACATGTGGGTCATCTCGGATAACTGATCCACCTGATAAGCTAGAAGAAAGAGTACGAACCATGAAAGAGCCTTTAGAACAAGGGCCAATCATCATTTATGTTCCTACTAGAAAAGAAACTTTGAGGATCGCGAAATATCTTTGTGGATTTGGTGTGGAGACTGCTGCCTATAATGCAGCTGTATGTATACACAAACTTATTACTTCAGGTCCATTTAGATGATTAATAGACTTAGGTCTGTCGCATTCCAATTGTGGTTACGCAGTGTATTTAAAATTTGACTTCTTGTTCCTCAGTTGCCAAAATCACATTTAAGGCGGGTTCACAATGAATTTCATGAAAACAAGCTAGAGGTATGGACTTTCAGGCTTTGGATCTGATACGGGAAATTGATAATTCCATATAATCTTATGTTTCAATTAGTGTTACTTTTGAAAACTAACCATTTTGTGTATGATGTTGGGCTGTTCTGATTCTAAAGGCCCCGTACTTTTTCAAGTTAATTTTTTCTTTTTATTTACTGATTTAAAACCCTGTACTCTTCATCCTTCTATGATGTGTTTTTATTTATGTAGTGTAACCAGAAATCTTATTCCTTGAAAGTCAGCTCACTAAAGAAGACTTACATGTTCTTCACCGAATAATTTGCATGTGGCTTAAGAGAGAACACGTAGCTGTTGATGGCGAATTCGTGTACTGTATAAACTAACCTATTGAGCGCCTGACAGTTGTTCTCCTTAGTTGAACAAATTGCCCAAATTGATTAATGTCCAAATTCAACACAACATTTTGTTCAACATTCCTCAAGTAACGCCACAACAGTCATTCTCCTTAGTTGAACAACATGCCCAAATTCAACACAATATTTTGTTCAACATTCCTCGAGTAATGCCACAACAATTTTTCTCCATAGTTGAACAAAATTTGAAAGCTGTGAAATCTTGTGTTGAATTTGAGCATTAATCAATTTGCTGTTTAGTTGGGGAACCTATTGAGCTCCAAAATGGACCATCCAGTTTTTCATTGAAAAATAAGTGACGTGTTAGTTTCTTCAACACAAGATTTTAACAACCATTGAACATTCAATTATGATTTGATGTTTACCAACTCACCACCACATAATACTTTCAGTTCTAACAACCTGTACCCATTTCACTTCACTGTTCTTCGTGTTAATTAAAGTTAGGGGTGAGCAAGCATAGACAAAGGTGGAAAAGTAGTCCGCCCGGTCTGGTGCGTGGTGGATTACTTTGTTTGGTGGGCCGGGCCTAATCTGCCTGCCAGCAAAGGCAGGCCGGGTTAGGCCCGCCATTTTCTTCAAAATGGCTGACCCAGCCTGGCCTGCCAGCCCTAACCCGTCGGGTTAGGTGACGGACTGGGTTGGGTTAGCCCGATTTTCCTTTTTTTTTATTTTTTTATTTAACTTTTCAAATAAATAATTATAAATATAATTGTTTTTAATTAACTTTTCAAATATCAATAATTCAATTCAATTTTTTTGTTTGTTAACATTTCAAATATTAATTCAATTTTGATACAATAAAATTATAATATAAGAAAAATTATTCATTTATCAAAAAATAAAATAAGAAATTACAACTATATTTGTCTCGTTAAAACCTCACCAAAAAAACCCAATGGGAAAAAAACTTGGTAAGAAAAAGAGTGCAATAATTGACAATTAATTTACAAATTACATTTTACAAAACAACTAATTTGGGGTGGTTCACTAGGACCTCCCCTCTGTATCACTATATTACAAAATTGAAACGATTCTACTAAAATATTGTCGATAACCTCTTATTGATCTTGATGGCGCGATCGTTCCCAATCTCGAAGATATGTGAGGACTTCAATCATTTTTGGAGCAAGTTTAGTCCTCCTTTCATTTAAAATCCTTCCACTTGCACTAAATGTTTGTTCGTGATGAGACGGTTGAGACAGGAACAGCGAAACATCCAAGGCAAGTCTTGATAATACCGGAAAAATACATTTTCTGGCTCTCCAATACTCTAAGATATTAAAGTGACCCGTTGAAAACATTTCGGGGGTTGCCAAATATTGTTGAAGTTCATTACTCTGCGACTCCATGGAGGACAGTATATTAGTTTTGTTGTTTGTTGTTGGTAGTGGTGTGTGCTTCTGAAGAGGAGGCTGCGGCTGTGCTTCGATTCGAGTCCTCTTCGGCCTATTCAGTGCATTCCAAGAGTATAAGTCTTTATTTGTTGTTTCTTTTGCTACAACTTCTCTGGATATTTCGCTTCTTTGCGACTGCGGGTTCCCATACCTGTTTTCATATTTGGAAATATCTTCGAAAAGACATTTTTTACCTCTCCTATTTGATTGACAAATGATTCGGTCTGTAATTTTCACTTAAATTGTCAAAACCATTTTCTAAACATGCTAATTTAATTTAGGATCAAATATAGCACCTAAACAATAAAAAGGAATGGTTCCCCAATATTTCAAAAAAAAAAAATTTCCATTGCCTTTATTGGTGCATTTAAAATTTCATTGTCACTGTTTTTGTAAATAACTCGAAATTTTTATAATTGTATGTATTACCAATGGACTAGTAGGATAATACACACCAAAAGTTGTAAGTGGATTGGTAAAAACTTTGACAAAAAATATTCAAAAAAAGAACTCAATTTAGCTAAATACTACACACACAATTTTTCAACCAAAATAATATGAACCTATTAGCTACAAAACAATTATATTAGCATAAGGTAAACATGAATCAAGCATTTATTAAATACTCACATCTAACAGCATATCTAATGCAAAGTTCTAGGAGACATATTGATTTTATACCGCTCTAATTCAGTATTTCTTTTATTACTACCAGAATACACAAAGCTAAGATTCCCTAATTCTCAATCATATTTTTTTAATTGTTTCCATACATTTCATTAAATAAATACAGACATCACAACAGCACTTACAACTTGTATAAAAAACGTTACTAAATTGTTATATAAAGGATATTAGTTTAAAAAAATCTATAGCTTTACTATTAGAACTTGCATTACTAAAGCTAAACTTATTACTTTATCAATATATCATAATCTTCTAAAACTTCAACATTTTATTATAGATTTCTAACCACTAGATCCACATCCATTAATCTAAATCCTATAAAGATGATTAATTAAATTCATTATCAAAATATGACTATAACACAAATATAATCTTGTTTAGCTCTACCACTCCAAATATCGGCAGTTAGAGCCACCACTATATAAAAGTATGAAATTATTTTTTTAATTCTAATTTCATTTTTTTTAAACAATTTTATAATCATTTCGTTGCAGTTTTAGAATAACTTTTAAATCCTGGAAAAATGAATTTTGAACAAATCTTTCAAAATATTTATCTTCACCATATTAATAGGTTGATCAGCTGCAGCAATATATTAAGTTAACTGTTCCCTTATACATCAGAATTATAACGCCAAGTAGTACCCATATTAGTTATTTGAGTTTGATTGCTTTCTCTATTTCCATGTTGATTAATATGTTTATTAGCATGCCTTTTTAAAGTACTAGTACCATTACCTGAATCGCTTTTAAACATTTGCACATATTTGCATCTTGCTTTCTTGACTTGAACGCCATTTTCTGTCTCGTAAAACTGTGTCGAAATGCGCCCAAACGTCTGATGTGTGTCTGTCTCCGCTTTCGACGGCAGTTGATGATCCCGCCTCAGCTTGAGATGAAGTTGGACGAGGACGACGATTACGAGGACGACTTCTAGAACCACCGGGAGCTGTTGGAATCGACAGCATATTTTGAGGTGTATCGGATTCTGAGACTGGGATTGGGACAGCATGACTTTGAATCTCCTGTCATTATAGTAAATATTACGGGACTGGACTAGATATTATTTTCTTCATCATTAAAATTGAGGGAGAGAAATATCTATCCATTGTAGTTGAAAAAAAAATTGATGTAGAAAAAATAAAATTAAAGAAAAAGAATTGGAAATATGAATTGAAAATTGCAAAAACTAATAAAAATTAAAATAAGAGCAAATTGATAACAAAAAGATTAAGAGAATAAATGAATAATTGAGAGAATAGAGATTAGAGAATATGAGAGAATGAGAGAATTTGAGTTGTGAGAAAAATATGAGAGTTTAGGGCCAATTTATAGAAAAAAATGGGGAAAGAAAATGACGAAAAAGACCCCTCCAACGGCTATAAAACGGCTATATTTCAAGGGTAAAAGTGTAATTTAAAAAACTAAATAAATTTTGTATTTTTTTTTAATTTTTTTTGCCCAACCTGCAACCCGCCGGGTTGCGATCCTCCTGCAGAGAGGACAAAATAGCAACCCGCGAGCTGGCGGGTTGCCATTTTGCAACTCGGCCCGCCTGGGGGTTGCTGGCGGGTTGAGCTCAACCCGGCCCGCCATTAAGGTGGGCCGGGCTGAACTCTCTTTATTACGGGTCGGGTTAGGGTTGAGCCGCCTAACCCATTTTTTCCACCTCTACGCATAGTCAAAACTAGAATCTATCCAGAACTGACATTGTGTGGATAAGTTTCGGTTCCATTTTATTAGAACTGATACTATACAGTTTCGATTCTGATTCTTGTGTGTGGAGAATCGGAACCAAAACCGGAACCTGAAAAAAGAACCTAAAACGAGTACCTTGTTTGGAACCTATAACAGGTACGCGGTTTAGAATCTGTTTAGAACTGATTTTTAGAACCTGTTTTAGAACCTGGACTGCAATGAAATATTTGTGAAACGTAAATAATTGGAGGTTTCTATTATTTTGCATATAAAAAAAATTAAAATAGAAAAAGTTAAATTTTTAGAATAACCTAATTAAATATATATACAATTTACTTATTACATATAAATTACACCATATTAAAAAGTTTAATAAATTATAATATATTAATATTAAATTAACTTTTTATTAATTAAGTGAATAATTGGAATTATGATCCAATTAAAAGTGTTTTAAATTTTTAATTTTATTAAAAGAATTATTTTTGAGTAAAATAGTATATTTGATTGAATAATAATATATTTAGTTATTTACTTTAATTATCAAGCTCTAAGTATATCTATAGTAGATTAGCAATTAATTAATTATATATGATAAATTGATAAACATTAATAAATTTAATTACTAGTTAAATATCATAATTAATAAATTATAAAATTAAATTATAGTTAAATGATTACTTAATTAATTATAATTTTATAACATTACTTAATTTATTCATAGTATAATTAATTATAGTTTTNAAATCATAGGGAAAAATAGGATTATCATTTACAATAACCACAAATTCACCAAAAATATTCTACATAAATTTATAATTCAATCACAACTC